GGAACGGTCAACGAGTTCACCTAATTTCGAGAGAAAATGAAAAAGCCTAAATCAAACTCCATGGGTTCGCATGTAAGGTTACCTAAACTCGCTTAGGTTTTGTAATATATACTTATACTCGTCGCTCGTTTAAAGTTCAGACGAACTCTTCATTGGAAATCGCTTAAACTCTAACTGACAGGCCTAAAGGTTAAGCGTAGCAAATAATTTAACTCAGTTCAGCTTGCCAGTGCAGCGGAAGAATTTCACAAGTTTAGAATGAGTTAAAAAGATATAAAAAGGCAGCAGAGAACTAAAACTAGATGAATTTAGTTGTTCTAGTTCAGATTAGGTCTTTACATAGCATTTTGCAAGAGGGTGCAATAAAAATATGCAAAATAGCGGGTTGTATAAATGAGATATAGTGAATATTTTTGAATATGAAATCTCGGGTGATATTAATCTGAACCATATCACCGTTAACAATATAATATTATAGTAAACATGCACAACTTGTAAGAAACATACAATATTATTTAGCTAAACTATGAACGGGCTGAAGTATATTGTTTTTTACAGATTGTGTATGTTTCACTGTGAATGATCTTGGTGGAAAGCACTCGCTATTATGACAATAAAATTTACTAATCAATATTTCGCCAAACGAATATCTTTTACATTGGAGGAAATCCCAAGTTTGACAAAGCATATTCAAGAAATAATGTGCGTTTATCATTACAGGCCATGCATAAATAAATTGTTCCAACGAGAATATTTCATTTCTGAATAATGTTCTACAATAATATATGTTGAATTGGATTTGTTTATTCGCATGATATCGAACAAACGAGGGAACTTAAATATTGCAAATTCAACAACTTGAATGGCCTGCACTTCATGAATTCGAATCGATTTTTTCACTAAGTCATTCAAATATAATAGGAATGTCAAATACAGGTACTTCAATAAACATCAAAAGCGATAACTTGTTTCCGTTCACACTTTGGGGTTATCCTATGTTGAGAGCTATTAAATATTTTCAAAATGGCATATGAATGCTAATGATGATCATCTTTATCTCCGATGATGAAATTTTTTAACAGTTTGTAGAACAATTCATAACTAGTGTGACCGCGTTCGGTAATGGAATAAAACTCAATGTAACGTATTTATATCGAAGAGAACAATAACAATAACCAAAGAAAAATGGAGTCATAATGTACAATAAAGGGAAGGATATTAAATTATGTGGATGATGAAACTCTACAATAGACAATGGACATGTGTTAAAATTATACAGTGAAACATCGAAGATAAAAATTGTTACACACGACAAAGAGTTTTAATTCTCCTATTTTTGGTCGGCGGAGGAATAGTATGATAAGAGAAAACGTTAAACAACTATACCCTAATAATCACTATACATAGACATTGTTATGCTAATGAAGTTTCATGATACACGACTGTACAATTTTTGTCGAAAATCATCTGTTCCTCGGGCGGATAATGTGAAAGACTATACATTCAATGAAGAAGATAATAAAACTCTTATTTTTGCATCAATCGCACTCTTCATCTGAGAATAAATAAATTTCTGACGGTTTTATCAATAGATGCCCCATGGACCGAGTGGAAATGTCAATGTTGAAAAGCAAAATATGTTTGTTAAAGACGTTTGGTATTAGCATTTAAAATTCTATCGAATACAATTCCGACAGAAAAATACCGCCAACGTTAATATGACTCCATGAAACAATACAACAGCATTCGTGATAATTTCCTATAAATAGGCTTCCGTTGGTGTCTTATGCGCCCGCACTAAAGATTGTAATATAATTAAAAAACAGATATTTAGTACGACAATGCGACTTGGCTTCCTTGCTCACTTCACCATTAGCATAACGTTTCATATCTATTTTGACCAATAGAATGTTATTGAGTTTTATGTATGCCGGGCACAATGCTTGAAATCAAATTGGTCGCACATAGACAAGGTTCGATAATAGCTTCGGTATCCTGAATCGACATTAATTGATGATGTGTATTTTAGAATCGTTTTTAAAATCGATCATCAAATAAAAATATCTAGTCTGTTTATGCAAATCATTTATATTTTATTTGTATTTGAAAACGCTTCAATTATGAACAAGTTTGTATGCTTGATTTAAGCTCCATTGGTATTCTTAATAGTGTACAAATGAAAAATATTCGAAAGTATTCAAAATTCAATTTAATATTGTACAAATGTTAATATTTAGAAGAAAAATTTGCTTGAACATGTGTCCGGATGAGTGTCATACATGTGTTTAACACAAAATGCAATTAAATAGTATGAGTTAAAAAAAACGTTGCTGATTGAGGCGATTTTTATATTTTGAACATAAGATGTTTCAATATGATTAATTTGAGCATCCACGAGTTTTCACCCAAATCATCCTAAACCTGATGCTATCTCATTCACACCACTACTCCCCTCACTGGCCAACGTAACTCAAACATCTTACAGGTAAGTCGTAGAATAAGTAATAAATCGTAATACCGTACTATATCGCTCGATACAACGAAAGTAATGTAGATGAACTATTGAATGGGACAGAATTTATCTGTTGGTGAGTAAATCGTATTGTCGTAAACATGTACGATTTTAGGCGAGACATTCTGGTAGGCGAGACAGGACTGGGTATCAATGCCGAATTTATGACTAATGTAAATAAGAACAATCGAATACCCAGATGGGGTTTTTGCTGTAGCCGGGTAACATCTGCGGGGTTTCGTGCGGGGCACTATTTAATTCCTTTGAACGAAATAAAATGCTGGGTATCGCAGTGTAGCTGTTAATATCGGGAAATAAGATAATCATATATCGGGCTTCTAATTATTATAGATACATCTTTTTGTCCGAATATCCTGTTACTAGGAAATGTCGACTGCTAGATGAAACGCGATATTTTCTCCCGGAGATGTCATATTTATTACAGGCTATAATGAATGGCAATTTGCAGTATAAGAAGCTCGCCATAATGGGGCGAATTTTGATGTACAGCTCCAGTTATCTTCAGACCATGCTTGACAGGGGGCAACTACCAGAGGGCCGACAAACACTGATAAATACAATTCAAACATTTGTTCTCCTAACATTCATTCGATGAATACCAAGATAACTGTAAAATAATACTCACAATGGCCTAACAGGAAGTAACCAGCACAGCATATAAATCTAGGAGTTTCGCGCCAGTCCGCGTTTATACCATAAGAACCTATTTTACATTGTGAAATTTAAATCTGTAAAGAGACAAATGACGCGGATCGGCACGACTAGCATCCGCACATCAATATAATATGATACCGCAACAAATATTTTATACAAAATATTACGTTGATGACGCAATAATTCGACCATGGTATACTTCATAACTTCACTACCATCACCCCGTTTCGAAAATTATCCTTATGGCCAAAAGGACTGATTGAAATATATTGTGAATATAACGACAATCCGCCGAATCAATTATATCAAACAACGATAAAAAGAACATTAATATATCAGTTTGTGAAAATTTATATAAAGACCACTTACATTGAACCATTCACGAGCGTACATTGCTAATGCGAAGCACGTTTGAAATATCCACCACGTCCATGCATCTGTAAAATTCCCACCAGTTAGTTTAACTATAACCTTCATGTGTTTCGCCTTATCTACTTCACTGTCTTTGAAATGGATATGGAAGTCATACCCAATATTTCAACTAACACATAATACTCGTAGTTACTTTAAAACTTGTCAACGGTGCCCTATAGACAAGTCAGCAAACAGCACGTGTATTTAATATACCAATACACTGCATGCAACTATCAAAATTTCACTTCACCTTGCATCTGTTGTTAATTAACTACTTACCTAAATATTGTACTTGTCACTAACTTATAGTACCACGCGCTGCTTATGCTCGCAAACAAAATACGGAACGATCGACGTATCTGACTCGATTAATATTCGGAGTACTCTCTACCCCTTTTTCGTCCGTGTATAGATTCTGAGTTAAAAAAGTGGCAACCACCTGCTTAGCTATCGCAATGTCAACATTACGTTCTCACTACCATGGTTTATCTCACTAAAACATCGGGCGTCTGGCACCCGATTGTACCCTCACTCAAACAAAAAGTGGCAGTCGGTGGGTGACTACGTCGTAATTACACGCTTAAATAGGCATATATTACCCAGTGAAAAAGCTGCGATATATTTTAGCCTCGTAATCAAGCTGTCGGAAGGTAACCAGTGGTCGCCTGCCCTGAAGGCCTCTCGAAATAGCCAAATTATTCATATAAAGTATAAACGAACAAAGACGACATCACTCGACATAACACGGAACTTGAAAAGCGCGCGGTGCCATGAGCACGTGACGTAACGATTCGCTCGAGTAATCTGCTACGTTTGTTGTCGTCGGATATGCAGACTACAAAATGGAATATTTTCTCAATACCTCGAGTAAAATTACGTGACAGCGTTTCCTTGTAAGAATATCGTAAGATTTATCGTATTTATGAATGATACGTTGATATTGCCAATTTCAGATAAGTGTTATGTTAGGAAGCCTAAACTGGAAAGTGCATACTTTCATCCTTTGCGTGGTGTCTTTCAAACAGTTCGCAATCGCCACTTTTGCAGACGGCTATTGGCGTCATTAAAAAATTGTACTTCAGCATATACCAAAACATGACTGTCATTTCTGCAAAATTTCTAAACACGCACTGTCGGTAATTATTGAAACAGTTACGTGCATGAATGAAAATATTTTCTCTATGAGGTAATTGACCACGTCTGTGTATTCCGCATATTTTTATAATGGCAATTTCTTCGAAATAAGAGGCCTTCGTAGCTGGAACGTTACTATGAATGGCATGAGAATTTTGTTCCAGACTTATGCTACATCGCCATCTTGCCCCACAAGTAAATATCTTATCAGCCTTCCTTCTCCAAACAAAAAATAAATTGCATTCGTTTGCATGAAAGTATAAAGTACAGTATATTCAACATGGTCGCTGGCGATAAAACACGAAGAACCAGGTACCGCTCATTTAGGTACTATGGCACAATAGTTAATCTTTCTATTTATCGAAAATGATAACATATAAAAAGAATTAACCAGCGCACAATTTATACACACTTTCACGAGTTCTATTAATGCATAAGTATCGTGTGTGTCAACAAAATGATGAACTGGCAGTTTAATGATTGACAATGCTGATAAATTAAAGGCTATGCTACGAAAAAATACCGACAATCGCATCCAAACTAAGGTTACACATGAGTAGGATTCTAGTAATAAAAAACTATTAAAGCTGGAATGAATTCATCATCATGATTCAAATTGTTCCACTCGGAGTTCATTCGGAAGTATTCCATAAGCAATTCTGTTTTGACCATTGTTTTCTGTTAACTCTAATTTCCCCCCAATTACAGCCCATGACATTTTAATAGTCGTGAAGCCTATTCCGACTCGTCCCTTTTTATCCAATGCAATGGCTCCTCCATGTCCTTCTGTTCGATCTTTCATAAATTTTAACGCCTTATTCACGCTTTCTTGAGGACTGCAACCTTAAAACATGAATGATCACAATAACAATTATTGATTATTCCGATTAGCAATCGATTGCTTAGGGCAAGTATGCAAGTTTTAGGAATTTGATATAACCAATGAGTATGATATCGTCACGCTAATAACCGAATTGCATAAGTCATTTTTAGCAGTTTTGAGAAAAACGTAAAAAACTTCCTAATGATATTGCTATGCCATTGAGAGTCAATAATTTGCCATAGTTCAATTTTTTGATCGTAGCCGGATTTAAGTTAATTTGTATGACGCAGTCATGTGACGTCATAATGGTACACTGTAACTTAGGCAGAAATGTGTCTATGACTAGGGGACATACGCAATTTTGCAACTTGACTATATGTACCAGTCCTGAAAACCAAACAATCCAAAAACAAATTTAATTCTTAGAATTTACGATGTCTAATCCCCAAAATAGCTAATCTGTTTCAATTACATTATTTTTTATGTTTAAAAATATATATTTCATCAATATAACACGCTCTGCACAACCGCCGAAATAAGACTAAAGTTAAATATAAAGAATAAAACAGCAATGTACTCTTATATATAAGGCAACCAAGGTGAATTGGACTCAAACAGTGAATATCACAAGTGCACGCCTTCCTATACTGTAGTATAAATTGAAATTTATAAGCGCTAAGCTAGAATCTGAGATGCAAAAACTCGAAAATCCTTCGCAAAGGTTATTTTGCCTTTGTGACGTCACAATAGTCATGCGTTAACAATGATAAATCATTATGACGAAACAATTGAACAAATTTGCATATCATACAAAATCTCTATTTTTATGGGTTTCGGAATTCTTAAAATAAAATCTGAGTTATCAGACAGGTGCGCAGCATTACATAAATACCTATTTTATGAAAAACTCAAAACTAGTTTTAAATCAGTCTAACTAATTTTTTTTTAAATATATAATAAACGTGAGCACAAATTTTATGCAAAATTTGCTTCGTAGGCTACTCGTGAGACTGATATTCTGCAGGTGTTTAACTGAGGAGTTCAATTACCAAATATACTAGCATACCTTGTTCCGAATGTAAACTTGCTAGTCGCGCTAACGACACTTTGATGATAGATTCTCCGTGACCGGTTGAAGAAACGGCGACTTGAATAAAAATATAAAATTGAGTGATTGAGTATTACGTGTGGACGTAAATGATACTACGTTTAACTTACGAGAGTTATTGTCTGCGAATCCACCGGAACCGGGAATACCAGAATCTGAAACTCGTCCTGGCATTTGACCTGTAATTCCACCAGTAGATGTCGCACATGCAACGTTTCCATCCAAGTCCAAGGCCACTGCTCCAACGGTGTCGTGATCCCTAATAACAAGCTTAGAATTTACAAACGTACTTTCCGACAATTCTCATAATCATTTACCTTTTTGAATTGAAGAGAGTATCGACGCAATTCCTGTATTTCATGAAAGTGTCAAATTCTTTTTGCGCCGAATCAGTGACAAAGTATTCTAGAGGCATTTCTGGTACATTGTGTTCTTTTGCCAGTAATAAGCTGTTTTCCCCGTCTAGCATACAGTGCTCGGTCTTAAAATATGGAATTTGAAAATAGTATAAACTAATGAAAATAACTGTTGCAGAATATTGGATTTTAACAAACAAATTTGGGTACTTCCGAGGTATGTGAACCAAGATGGCGGACATCGGAACGTAGTATGTGTACCAGGTAGGGGTCAGGCCATAATTTTATTCAAATTTTCCATATTTTAGTTCTATTACAAGTTCGGGCGCTCCAGAAGTATGTGCAACAATATGGCGCATTACCTGATAACCCTAACCTAGTACACATACTATGTTCAGGTTGTGCGCCATCTTAGTTCACATACTTCGAGAGTACCCAAATTTGTTTGCCAAAAGATATGATATGGCTCATTATAGTCAATTGGCGGAATGAATGAAATAAACAGAATTGTATCGTGACAACGGACTGGTGCTACCCCATTTTTGATCAATTCTATTTTACCTTCTCCATAACAAGCCTCGCGACTTGTACCGGATTTTTCACGCGTTGTACTCCAAGCACACCACCACATTTCATTGTGTCGCCTTTCATTACCATAGCGTGCATTTCAATATCTTTGTTAGTCGTTAACAGCGAACCCTTTCCTGAAATACAAAAGACATATTTGTTAAATTAACGTTAACAATATACCTATTCGCATACGTCAACTCGCACGCAGTCTTCTCAGTGACGCAATACAAAATATGAAATGAAGTGTAGTAGGTCTACCTACACAGTACATACTATTCCGGACTTCCGGGTTCTTAGTTTGCTATATATAGTCAAATCGAACCTATTAAAGCGAAAGTTTGCTTGTTTATCAAAGGCCACGACACATTGTACAGTCTAAAATAAAAGCTCTTTAGAAATATAAATAGTGTGGTTGAGTTACCTGCATCGTAAAGTGGATTATCTTCTAGGGCGCTCACAACTGCTACAACCGCATCTATGCAACTTCCCCCTTGTAACAGAATTCTATAAAATAACACATTGTAGTATTGTAAATTTTTGACAACAAGCATACTATTTAGAAAACAAGAGACCTGTAGCCGATCTTGGCCGCATTCTTTACACATTGCAATGTTTCTTCAGAGGTGGCGTCTGGCACTGCCCAAGCCCCGCCATGCGCCACCATTACAGGTAGTTTGTTTGCCATTTACTTTGCTATAAGGTGCTTACAATAATGCAAAAATTGCAGCCTACTTCTACCTTGATAAGTACCTTATCATAACAAGCGAATGCCTGCGACCGTCACTTTATTGAGCTGTACATGTATATGAGACGAGACATCAAAATATGGGCGTGACAGGTATCGACGAATAGAATAATGAAATCACATTGTATTTTTTCAAGCGGAACAATGAATGTGGAACCACTGAAGAGTTATGTGGCTGTGCGTAGGTCCCGATTCAAACGCTTCCTCAGCTTGGTCAATTATCTCCATATCAAATAAATTTAATAACTACTAGCAGTTTATATTTACCAAATGTAAAAGTAAACTTTAATGACCGTTCGCGTTAATTTTGTCACTACGTTGCATGCAATTTCTTATCAGCTGACGTTTTAAAAATCAATAAGCAACGGAATTAGTAAGTATGATTTTTGCATAAGTATAAGTAGGGTTTTGTTTTTTATCAATTCCAAAAAAAACATCGAGTTTTAAAACAAGGGCTTGTTTTAAATCAAAATTTTTCTGTATTTTTTATTGAAATTCTCCTTGCATCGCCGCGAAACTACGCCAGACTTTTACCACTATTGCATACATTTATTGCCACTTGATATCTCCACCAAAAGTCATAAGATTTTACCCGTAATGTTTAGCCGAGATATCAGAGAGACGCTTTGAGTAAGAAAAATCATGAAAATTAGCTCACGAGCCTACTACAAAAGCAATTCGATCAAGTGCAACCCTTCGGCAAAACGAGTGGGTTGCGATAATGAAGAATATGCTTATATCGGCGGTAATCTACTGATATTAGCGATGAGACACCCTAACCTAGCCTATGTTAATTGTAGGAGTCCTCTGATGCAAAGACGCCACAACTAATCTGTTATGACGCCATAACATGGATTTCGAGGTCATGCATTGACATTTTTCTCATAAAATGAAGTCATTGTAACGGTTAATACTGTTCTGTTAATTTATGCTCAGTATACTTTGTTTCTTAAGGTTGAGGTGAGTTTTTCAAGGTTATACAAACTCATTTATTCGATCGCATTTCAATTTTCGCAACGTGGTTTCATCGCAGGTGGGTCGTTCACGTAATGGCTAAAAGTTTCGTTTTACTGCGCCAACCACTAAAATACAGCTTGATAAGGTGTGCATGAGCCTTTATCGATATTTGTGCCGTTTTGAAAGATTCATTGCAAATAAGAAGCGCTTGGCAAGTTTTTACATCCATTCTACTTCAACTTATTTAATACAAAAAAAAATCAAATAGTACAGCCATTTTGAACAAAACAGGCAAAAAAACTCGATGTAAAACAATTGTTTTAAAACAAGTCTCTTTGAACAAATCCCTAAGTATAAGTGCATAATTTTGAAGTTATTGCCCGTGTATTTTTATTTTATTGTGTTATTTGACTGTTTTTGGTAGACGGGCGCGTATTTTTACGTTTTAACTTTGTCTTTGAGTCATGCTCGTCCCCCAGGTCCTCTGCGTTTTGTTTGTTGTTGTTTTATACCTGAGCGACCAAAATAAAATTGATTGATTCAATTCTCTTATTATAATAGGATTATTAATTGATTTTCTATAGTCTACTTTTTTGACACATTAGGGGTGATATATCGCTGAGTGGGACGATTTTGCAACAGCAAAAGTTTTTCTCCTTATTACCAACGAATAGACCATATAAATTTGATATATATATATATCTATACTAAATTAATGCATTTATTTCAGTTAGGTCTGGATCTATTAGTTCAATTTAGATTGTGTAACTTGTGCCCCGTCAACTTGATTTCGATGAAACGTACTCTGAATAGCTAATCGTATATGTTTATATATGCATTCGTGTGGTCATGGATATTGGGGTAGCCGTTCCACATTTGTTTAGAATTCAGATCAACGGGAATTCTCCTCAAATGTCCTCTGCGTGGTGAGCGGGGGCCATTCTGAATATCCGGCGCGAATTTTAGGATGGTTATCTGAGTTGACATAGTTTGGTGTTGTCTTGCAGTGTGACAGAATATACGCCAACTGGAAAGTCAGATTTTGAATGTGACTGTTGTGCATTACACAGATCAGAATACAAAGTTTATCTGCTTGAAACCTATTTAGTTCCAAGAGATTGTACCAACAGGCTTAGAATGTACTTCGTGAAGATTCGTGCGCCGAGACTTTCTAGCCCGAAGTTATTTCAATATGTTTGACCGCGTCTTGCTTTCAATCGATTTGCACCGATACAGAGTATATCTTAAGCGATATTTTCCGGAAATCTTTTCAACAAAGAACAGGGGATTCTTATCCGCGAATTTAGTAATTGCGAGTAGGGAAAGATGAAAAGACGGTTCTAACATTAAGGGAATCCACCTTTTGTCCAATTGCTACCGAAATCCTTAATTAACTCGATCATCGTTTCTTAACAGTTCCAACTTTGCAAACCTAAGCCCCCAGAAACAGATATATATATACAAGAAAATTTCATTGAAGCATTTCATACGAGGTAAGCAAAGACATGTAGCTAAAAATTATGCATAGGAATGTCGCCTCAGTAAATATCGCAAAATAACATGATCTGGAGATACCAGAAGAAAAGCATACAGGGAATTTGGGTCCCGAATCACTACTCTTAGATTCAGAGCCATTTCCCTTGCTAGCACTAGAGGTGAAAAATTATAAATCATTAAACTTGGAGACAATTTCGGTAATTACCAAGTCTTAAGTACAAAGTTTAAATCAATATAGAAACCAGGCAATCCTGAGGTTGGGAGTGTGAATGAGATGCAAAATATTCGGAAATGCCTAAGGTAAAATTTTTTAACCAATCAGAATTGTATGAAATCTTCAATTTTCAAAGCTACTCAGTCAATGAGGGCTCTAAACTTAAAAAAGGAAACTCTGGTCAGATGGCACCTTGGTCGTGATAAATTATATGATTCTTTCACCAGTCCCACCGTAGAGAAATATACTTAAACCTATAACATTGGTCACAAAAACAGAAGTAAAAACAGTTTTCCAATTTCCAGATGCATTCAATATAAAACCTGCCATATAAACTCCCAAAAAACCAGGGATTGCACCAGCCGTATTCATAATACCTAGATAGAAATGAAAGCAGAGTGAGAACATTAATAAATATTATTGATATAAAGGAATAAATGGAAGACATTAATTTAGAACATGTTTGACAATTTACTAGAAATTACGATATTATGATACGTTTTTTTTAAAATAATTATCAGGGTAAAGTTGCAATGTACTGTTCTAAGACTGTGCATATTAATTGAATTCACAGGTTATTTTAAGATTACAAAATCCCTTTGGTTGTATCAAGCAAGAATCAATAATTGACATAAATCAAGAAAGAACTAAAAAACAAAAAAATTACAAAAAAAGATTCCAAGGGCTTGAAAAACCAAAGATCCCACATACGTTACAACAACATTAAAAAGGCATACTTACCAAAAACTGATCCTGAATACGTGGGTGCAATATCTTGAGGATTGACAAGAATGCCACTGAAATTCAATATACACAAATAAGTTTGTAAGTCTCACATTTAATTAGAACCACGTAATGGAGACGGAGAAAAATTACAATACAATTCTCACTTAGACTCTCGACCGTAAAATATTTCGATCTCCATCTCAGCTCCTGGACTACAACGACGTTAAATCAAATTTTGTTTACTAAAACTCTGGCGTATGAGAGCCTTCTTCAATAGAAAGTTCGGTAAACTTGATGCTTTTCGACTTTTTATAGAAAATTTTGTCTTCTTTAGCACCATTGTATGTGTGACTCAGACAATTTGAGAATTTTAGACTTCAGGTTGAAAAATACACGTATGATAGCATAAAAGACAAAAATTATAAACAAACCTATTATGAAATGTTTGACAAGATACTGCAAGTCCAGCTACAATAAGTGCAGATATATAATTTTCACAAAAAGGAAGAAGCATGGCAAATAAACCACAACCAAACATGGCTATCGTCTGAAAATAAAATGTATATTATTATTGTATTTTCAAATATCAGCTGAAAACAGAACAGTTTTTCGATATTTATTTTGAAGAGGCATGATCATATGATGGGCACAAACAAGTTCAATTCAGATTCAGGAATATTGGGAGTTTGTGGAGTCACAATCTGCAGTCTGGGTCATATTTTTCTTGGCCCATCAGATGAGTCTGAGCCAATCTATAAATACAATCTTATTTTTATAGCGATATTACCAAGTTGGGTAGACTTGGCAGCATTTGATGTCCAAGTAATATAAATCATCTAAATCTTTATATAGTATCAACTCTTCAGAATTCATATGGTAAACATAGGTATCTACCCACCTGTATAAATTTTCTTGCAAAAGTCACGCTGAATTTGACTTCTATTATATTTTTACTCAACCAACCACCAAAAATGCTGGTAGGCAGTGACATAAGCCAAGGAACAACATTAAAAACCCATGCCTGAAAAATAAAAATATTATGAATTCATGAAGTAAATATATGACAGTGGAAGAGTTTTTAGCATCAAGAAATTTAGACACCTACCTTTTGGTCAGGGAAACGTTCATGAAAATATGTAGGTAACCACATCAGTAATATAAAATAGGATGCATTCATACAAAAATGAGCACATATAGCACACCTGGAAATTAAAAATAACAGTTTTGCAATTATGGTATTCTTGTGGATAAAGCTTGCCCTGAATATGCCAATAATCAATTTCCAGAGTCCTATATTATGTAACCTATTATTGTTATAAATCAGTACTATTTTAAATCAAATATTGCTTTTGCCAAATTAAAGGTGGAATTTTTTGCTTCATATTCTAATCCGTAATTTTTGGATAAAGAGTTAAACAGGCAATAATACAACAGTTACCATAATTGAGATTTAGAAAAAATTAGCCTCCATGGTACATCTTCTTTTGCTTCAACTGAATTTTGACGAGTAACTTTACGACCTTGAAAAAAATTTGAACCGATAATGAATAAAAGACAAGACTTTATAAGTTAATGCAATACATGTATAGAGGAATAGGTGATATTTCACCTTGTTGTATTTTAGACAATTGCCACGAGTGTATAACCCAACCAAAAGCACATAATCCAACAAAATAAAAGACTCCTGGCCAGCCGTGTGACTCAAGAATAACTGATCCAATGCCACCACAAAGAAGAGATCTGAAATATTTAAAAAAAACAGGATTATGAATAATCCATCAACATTTTTCATAAACAAATTTCTCAAAGCAAAAGACATCTGCACTCACTCAAAAGCAAATGTATATGAGAGAAGTTACTTGACCATTGAGTGAGTGTCAAGACTCAAGAGCAACACAAATTATAAAGAATATAGGCCTATAACACAAATGGAAGCTCACAGTCAAACGAGTATGACAGCTGAAAGTTTTTTTTGACAGTACATGTTCCAAAAGTGAAGAACAACAAAATACATTTATAGTTATAATGTAAAATGAGCACAGTGATGTAATATCTCGTCAATGGGTGTGTAACACAACATTTCCTTAATGAGGAAATATTTTTCAGGTCAGACGCTAATTGATAGTCAAAAATATTTGATATCCTACTTTGAATTAGGTCAAGTGTGTTTAATACAGTTACAGAACTGGCTCAAAAACAAATAAACTAGCAATTAACTACCCAAAATTTGATCCCGTGGAGGTCACACCCATTGCAAATGATCTATCCTTCTCACAAACATTGCGACTGACTAAACTTGTCATGGACGGATAATGCATACCTGCAAAACAAAAAACAAGGAAAAAATAGATGTAGCTCAAGATATACAAAAATTAAAATAAAAAAATTAATTAATTAAAATAAAAAAACTTCGATGCTCCTGTAGTATGTGTACCAGGTTAGATTTGGGGCATAATTCTATTTCGATTTTCCTTATTTTAGTTATATTATGAGTTTGGGGACTGTCTGTGTTAGCCAAGTGAACATACCCCCTGCCCATAGGTGTCAGTCCTTTTACACGTAACTTGATGTAGAATAGGCAAACAAAATTACCTTCATATTGGTACACATACTTAGGAGCCTATCTTTACACAAACTCTATAATGAAGCATAATTATGATTGAGCCTTTTCAATAAACCAGAGTTACATTAATTAAGATAACAAACTGCACTAAAATGAGTTTGAACTCTTGTGGTTTTCCAAACTATGTCCCTGGCAGATATTCAAAAAAGACTATATTATAAAGTTAAAAAAATTTTTAAAGTAATCATATTATAAAATTTGTTGAATCTGTATTTTGAATAAATTACAATCAAAATAGAAGCCATATAGTATTTCTTTATCATACCTTGGAATAATCCAAGTATAACTCGAAACAATCCAAGTAACAGCAACGTAACTGTATGATCATCATATAAATAGGCAATATATGGAGTTATAAATGTCACCGTACCCCATGTAAGAGCAGCAATACATAGCATTCGATCACCACCTATACTGAAATATAGTATTCATTAGGTAAGAGAATTGATTTCATATCTACATGCTGTATTTTAAGAAGGTATGATACGAGTTCAGGAAGTGCGTTACTGCACACAATTGAAAGAAAATCACACAATCGAATATTAAACATAAATAGCTATGACTGTCAGTTAGTACAATTGGACATACATCTCACCAAAATTAAATTACAACATATAAGCAGAGAACATAAATTTCAATTATACTGAAGATAACAAATATAAATACGCTAATCACAAAGTAATTTTATGTTTAAAATGAAGTCTCCTGATGGAGCCTGAATAAGAAAATACGTAGATATGGACATTCCAGTGACTCACCGATCAGCCATGTATCCACCAAATATTTGGGTCATTGCATAACCCCAAAAGAAGCATCCCATCACAGTACCGAGATGCTCTTTGTTCCAACCGAACTCTTTCGCCATTGCAGGAGCACACACTGGCATAGCAACGCGAGATGAAAATAGGATAGTTGTGCCAATAAATAATGTCGCAATCCATGTTTTCTCTTCTGATCTGTTAAGAAAGAACAAGCTGGATATCACTAGATACAGAGATATCACAGGCAAAATGAACGAAGATATTTTATATTTACAACTAGACGACCATAAAAAGGTGCAACAACATGCCAAATACCCAATTGCTCAAATATATTAGAAATCACTTTAAAAGGATAAATGACCTCTTAATTTGCTCCTAGAATTCAATAATACAAGTATAAGTTTTATTCAGATTCCAAGGCAAGCATAACATAGCACTGTACTGCTGTAGCAAGTAAACAATGAAAAATTGATAACCACTAATACAAGAACAGAAAAATATAATTATGGAATTGCTGTCAATCAGCAGTTAATCTGAAATCTCCGAAAATTTATTGAAAAAACAAAAGTTCGTTAACTAACTTGCTCCAATTTGATCCTTTTTGTTTTTTCACGATTCTGTCTATTCCTCCTGCATCTCGCGGAGAATGCAATCTTAATGACTTTGAATCCAAGTTTATGACATGATTTCCTACCATAATACTGCAGTGTCGCGATGATCAATAACTACTGTAATAACAACTTCTGATTGCGTGTTGTTATAGCTTTTTACCTATACACAACTGTAAATTTCGGTGGCGCTTTCACCCTTCTCAGCGAACTATGATTTAGAAAGGTACCATAAAAGCGCCTAACTTCGGACAAAATTACTATATTTTCGTCAATAACTCGGCCATTTATTGTCCAAACGGCGCCAAAATTGCTCGGTAAAACATTCGTGCGGTAATTTACATTCCCTGCAAATTTCGGTTCAATTGGACTATTTTTACTATTGAAATAATCGATATTTCTTGCCATTTGACCGTTATCCTTCACTGCCCTAACTTCGGACAGTCATTTTCTTCACTGCGTAACCGCGACGCACAGAGAGAAAGAGGCTTCCGATGCGGATGAGGTAATCACGTCGTTGCGTGAAGATAAGACGCTCGATCGTCGTCGTAACGTAACATTGACGTCACGACGAAAATGCATTATTTGAAACTTCCGTCGTCCTATGTTTACATCTTTCGTTCGTTATTTTCGATACTTCAGATGAGTATAATAACACGTTAGTCATTTTAATCAGGAAATGCATACGTAAATATATCTGATGCAAACCGTTTCAATCCACAATGAAGTATTTTAACGGGCTTCTATCGAAGTCTTTGAAGTATTAATATTCTCGACAGATAGCTTTTTTTTATTCTGCGCGGTTATCTTTATAAATGATAATTTATATCAAACACACGAAAAATCCGATTTTGAAGTTTAATTTAAAATTCAACTTAATCTTGTAAACATGTAGGTCCCGTTTATTTGTTGGAGATTAAATTTATTTTTAATTTCGAGTGAAATTCACCCAGGCCGTATTCAATAACTGTCATTTCGACTACTAATCATAAAATGATGGTTAAGTGCAGTGCACTGTGCCATATGGACGTTGGAATTATCATAGTTTTATATATTCGATTTTTAACGTCATCGATTAAGTGTGACATGTATTTTCATTAATGTAATTTTGGCATATATTCATACATGACCGAACAAAATACAAAAATATTACGTTGGAACGCCGTCTTTATCTTAACGGAATTGTCATATTGGCTCCGTTGTGTCTGGCGTCAAAATTCATTTCCGCGACGTAGTGTGACGTCGTTTCGGAAGTGAGCGAAAAATAATCTACGTGAGGTTGACGTAATTTTTGACGCTGCGTGAAATCTTAATATTCTTACGGAATTTATAATTCAGAATTTTAGATTTTATTTAAATCTCGTACGACATCTTGCGATCACTCAAATAAATTATATACATTGTTGTCGCCCTCTACCGAATGATGGTATTTTGACGACGATAGCTTCAGTAGGAGCGACGCTCTGCGCCGTTGAATGCCGGGCAGTCAATTTTCGGCAAAATTTCCGCTTTTTTACCAAAAAAATAATTATGCAACATTAAAAAAGATGAGAATAGATGTAGATATAACAGCACAACCTATAATAAATAAAATTAGCAATATACGGCGCGTTTTAGCCAAGATATGGCCGTTCAAAAATTTTGTCCGAAGTTAGGGACTGTCCGAAGTTAGGCGCTTTTACGGTAGCCTACCGTATATGGTACTGAATATAGACGTGGCGTAAACAAGACACGCACGACTTTCCTCTTTATCCTGGTTAGGTTTACTTCGTACTTCCATTTTATGAACGATTTTCAATACAAATATATAATACCATAAAAAAATAAACTTGATTGATTGATAACAATACATCAATCAATCAATTTTATTCTACATCTATCATTTTTATTGTTTTTGTCTATATTAAGCCAAATATGTAGAAATATAATAAAAGCATCAACGCGATTTTGCTTCCGAAGTGTTCTACCATTCGTGATATTATATGACTGAATATATATGGCAATTAGTATGTTTGGATTTCACAATTAGCATAAGAGGCGATGAAATATCTGTAAAACAGATCACAGTGCACAGTCACGACCAAGCTTTCTAGTCAGGCACTGCGAAGGCAAACAAAAATTTTAGAAATCATGGTTATTTCCGCATAGCACATTTGACGTATGCCGCTAAGCGGTAATTAAACGAAGTATTTATTTCATCTCCAAGCGAAAATAAAATTGCAATAGATACCATTTTTACTACCATACAAGTTGTTTGAAAAAATAAAAACATCGTTATTTTCATTTTTCAAACATGGAGAACAATTTGGGGCTGATAGTTTATAGTAGTGTTATCGTGATGAAAGGTCGTTATTTGCCACATAATTAATTCTCGTTAGGTTCCCTCTTTTTGGACAGTCTATCTATCGGCCTATCTCAATTCTCAATCCGATATGTTAGAATTTTCAATTTTATTCCCATCCCACTAAATTTCAGCCTCGTTCTCGTCACAAGATGGTGGCAGTGAGCTAATGGCGGCTCGGTGAAAACTATAGCTTTGTTGATTGCGGTACCACTTCTTCTGAAGATAAAAATGGCCAAGGTAAGGTAAGTAATATCCTCCAGTTCCTAGTGTGAGTTAAAGAGGCATGATTAGATTGGCTCTGACACAGGCCCAGGCTATAAGTTTGTGGCAAAACCGCCGTTGCAGCGGTGAAATGTAGGCGTCTTTTTGTCTCAAAATTCTAGGCTGCGCTTCATCGAATTGCGAAAGTTACGGTACCGTATCTTACATTTTGTATACCGTATGACACTGTGACTCTTTGATATTGGAATGGACCAGAGAATAGACTGGTGCTACTGAATAATGTAGATTAGTTTTGTGGTTACAAAGTCATCTATTCCTCAGTTCTTCTAGTTTCTGAGTTAATTTATAGGATATGATTTACATATTTATTATTTTTTCATTTACAGATTTATATACTTGTATTTATTATAACATCAGGACGAGATTTTGGTCAGTTACAAATCAATTCCTGTTGACAATAGTTTGATTATCCTTACCAAACAGCCAAAGTATCTGATCCATCTGCTTATATCAGTATATTGTACCAAACGCACTTTCTCACCAGTGTGATTGTTTTGTTTGTTTTGATTCTTTAGTTCTGAATTTAAATCTTTAGTGTTAACAACACTAATTTTTTTCTAAGAAAACTTGTTCAAAGCAAGGTCACACGCATTCACTCAGACTCTGTCGACAACTAAAATATCAAGAGCTAGCTACAGTAGGGCACAGTTGTCTGATTCAAGGATGTGCCGGCATTGAGTTCAATGCAACAAACACTTATTTTGTCTCTGAAACAAGGGCGTATGACACGACAGCAGATGCGTCATGCTTGTCTCAATGGTAATCTGAAATAATTGTGACGTGCGTTGGCCGTCATGTGACCGAAATTGCATTTTTTTACTAAAACTTCTTGAATGCTACGAAAAAAATCTTTTTTTTTAGTAAATCATTTTTTTTATTTTCAAGGGAAATCATAGTGGCGTTTTTAAATTGCGCTTTTAATTTGTTGACAGGGCTGATTTGCAGATTTTTGCCATTATGGAGGTCCAGACTATCTCGTAATACAGGGGTTTGCAGTCCCTGTTTTAAATATTTTCAGAGTGAAAATGACTATTCTATTCAATTCAAGAGTCTTGCTGCACACTAACACAAATGTACGAGGTTAAACTCCTTCAGACAAGCATTTTACAACTGTGGGAAAAAACGCAAGCGCATGCACATAAAGAAGAAGACGAAACGTTACAGAAATACATTTTTGTTAGTGTGCAGCAAGACTCTTGAATTGAATAGAATAGTCATTTTCATTCTTGCTACAGCATCCTTGCGTAATACGCATACGGATCCACCTGCGCAAAGGCATAGAGCAAGGAAAGGTAGTTAGTTTCACATAACCCCAACATTTAGTACTGTTATAATTGATGTCTTCTAATGTGGGGCTACAGAGCTATGGAGAGTATAAAGATTTATAGTGCAGACTTGCACGTTGCTTGTTAACAATTCAACACTGATTTTTTATATTCCTTTTGTTAAAGTCAATAATTATCTATAGTGTAGAAAAATGGATTCACCAGTCTATCAAGTCCTTTGATAAAGGATTAATATTATGTCTGATGTGAAAAAAGAAAACCATATCCAAGGAGTAGGTGCTGAACAAATCAAGAAAAAAGATTATAAATTATTGGTCGACCCTCAAATAAGAAGAGGCGAAGAAAAACTCTTTAGATATGAGGGAGTTGCTTATAATACAGAAGTGAGTGTTTTTTTTTCAATCAGTAATTTTATTCATGACACTATATTTATTACTGATTTTTTTTATTTATATTAAACTGAATTTATTCTGGACTTGGTCCATTTTCAGTATTTGGATTTTTTCAGATGGGTAGCATGTATACTACAGCAGGGCACAGTTCTCTGATTTCTGATATTTGGTTCAATAATACAAACACCATATTTGTCACTGAAATGACGGTACCTGGCATGCCGGCACATGCGCCACATGCACACCATGCTATTCTTAGAATCAGAGAACTGTGCTGTACTGCACTAAAACTAAATCTATTTATGTTTTCAGTAGCTCGTGTCATTTCAGTGGCTGCCTTGCAAGTACGCTTGCTGATGAAAATTTTCTTCATCTATGCAAAATTACCACCCTGATTTGAGCAAAAATCTATTAATAATAATAAAATGCTTCGGTTGTTGATAGTGATATCGTTGATTCTTAGGTGAAGTTATATCTTATTGTACAAAAACAAACAAAAATTCTGTTTGCATAACTTGCAATCCATTGTTAGGCTGGCAGCTGGAAGTATATATATATATGAATATTTATGGACTATATCATATGCATAACATGTGTTTCTATCGCAGATGAACATGTATGGATTTGTTGACAATAATGATGCTTATTAGCAGCTGGATAATGAATGACCCTCTTTGAATAATTTCTAGTCATTATCTTGTGTATTGCATATTTAAATATAATTATCTGTGAGTACTGCAATTATGCGCTACGTATATAATTTGTGTATTAGATATTCTTATTAACAAGACTGCAAGACTAATATCCAATTTATCTACCACAATGGCAGTAAATCTTTAGTTAAATGTTAAAAGAATCGTATTGAATATTATATGAAGATGTAATCATGAATTTGAAAAATAAAAAAATTGGGCCTAATAATAAGTGATATGAGTGATAAAAATAAGTGATTTTTCGTAATTTACAACAATCCTATATTTTATTAATTTCTATCTATCTGTACTGTTATTTATACTTGTAAGGATTGATGGTTTCAACATCATTATTGAATATGGGAGACTGTTTTTGTTACCCAAACCGCTAGATTATGGAGTGATTTGAAGGTTGTTTTTTCATGTACTGTGCATTTTACCCACATATCTTAATAATACCGGTAACTAGATAAGTTAATGGGATTTTAATTCTTCCTAAAAAGGGGTGTTTTGTAGGTGTGAAACCATCTTTATTGAAAGATCTTTTTTTTTTAATTTTCATTTTTTTTCTCACTTAGAACCATGGACAGGGTGTTGTTGTGTTACGAGATCCACGACCCAGGATGAATCGATTATGGTCAAGAAGAGAGCGATGTGAGTTACCTGTTCCACGATATAAGGTGATTACTGATTGTAATAATAATTGTAGCCATTTGTTGTCCACATTTGAATTGCTTATGGTTTATGATAAAACAATGTAAAACTATTTATAACGATTTACAACATTTTGGCAGGTTGACGAGTGGTACATCGGCGCTGTTCCTCCTCGCGAGGTCACTTTTTCTCGTCTTAATGATAACATCACAAAACAATTCATGGAAAAGATGTGCATCAAGTTTGGAAAACTGGAACGTGTGAGGGTTTATCATCACCCAAAGACACAAAAGCACATGGGTTTATCTAAGGTGTGTTGATGATTTTATACACTTGCAATCTTTGCAAGATATGTTCAACTATTATTGTGTAACTGAACTGTTATTTAAATAGACTATTATTCTGTAATAATGAAAAATGCTTAATATGCTTAAACTTAATATGTTAACTGTATTTTGTACTATGTGCTTTCGCATCTAACAATGTTGTCACTTAATCTCGTGTATCTGGTTTGGTACAGCCTACCTAACTGATTAATGGATGACCAGTCTTGAAACTAATATATCTCTCCAACTTAAAGATGCTAACATAGTTATATCAATATTCAAACTACATGAACATCATATTTTAATTCAAATTATATTTCCTGAAAAAAATATAGGGTGTCTATGAAATCTTAGAAATTTTTTAAAATTGCAAAGGGAATTTATCGATATCATGGGCCATATTGTTTTGGCCCTCACAGATGTATTGAATGAAGTAAAAATACCTGATTAAAACATGGTTAATAAGATATATTGAGAACTGACTTCATAACAAAAGCGAAACTGTAAAGAGGTTTATGAGCATCCTGTTTAATCTCGTTGTTCACTTTCACAGGTTGTGTTTTCATCGATCAAGTCCGCATCTGAATGTGTGAAGAAACTCCACCAGACTTCAGTCATGGGAAATGTGATTCATGCACAAATAGACTGTAAAGGTTTGTTGGATGAATCCTATTCACTAATCATTCTAACCCTGGCGCTGCTCATATGTAGTTGTCTGTTTCACTTAAGGCGCTCGTACTTAATCTTTGTTGTTTATCTTATACGAATAAGAGAATGTCTATATGTAGTAGGCTATATGTTATTTAATTACTTTCAAAATAAAGTTTGGATTGAAAAATCTTCAATGTATTTAGGATAAAATGTTTTTGCTGCACTTTTACAAATTTTTAGGCAAGATTGAATACTTGCAAATTTAACTAGAGCTGTAAAGTGTGGAAGAAATTTCCACCAACGACTTCCAACGTCTGGATGAAAACATTTTTTTGACCCGGCCTGATTACAGGTTTAAGAAAATTTTGACCTAAGTACGAGAAAACCAAATGACTATAAAAATTATCCAATCCTACTGTATGGTTTATGAGTATTCTTAGTTGATTTAAATATTAGATATTTAGATATTAGGTATATTAAATATTTAGTTTTTGTCAGAAAATTACCCTCATTACAGTCTTGAAATTCTAACTTGATTTTGAAGATCTCAAATTTGTTTTTGGCTCATATGGTTGAATTTGGTGGTTTCATAATACGACTCCAACTCCTTCCGTATTCCTAATTCCTATTCCAAACAAATTATTTTTGTCACCCAATTCAGGTTAGTTTTACTATTTTCTTGTATCTCATACACAGGTGAAATTCTGAACAAGCTCTTCCAACGGATAGTGAGAGGTGAGATGATGGCAGAAACAATACCCGATGTGATTCGACATACGCAGGATGGCATCACTATGTCAAATAAATATAAAGAACAACATCATCATCATCACGGTAAAAAAGAAAGGAGAAAATCATCGCAAGATGATCCCAGGTTTGTTTATGTTTGGTGCGAGGAAAAATTTTTTTCTTGGATTTAATTACCGGTACTTTTTATGGTTTGCTCCGAATGAGGTTCTGCACAGGAAGACCCTTGGACGTAGGTAGTTATTTGACTGCTTGGTTATCCTTGAAATTTATTTTTTTTTCTGAAAAAAAAAAAGATTGCATCTAATATGAAATTTGCATGTTACAGTGTGTGTCTGAATACATGTTATTTGGAACACAAATTGCTTAAAATGACAAAATTCGAATAAAAAACCAATCTTCAATGTTTTTGAATATTATTATCCAATTTAGAGGTCTTCATTCTGCTTCCTAGAGGCCAGGTCAACACTAAACAGATTTTGATTCTATGTTTGGTTGTAAAATGCTTATAATTAATCCTTATTTTCAAATTTTTTTTTAGAAAACTAAGAAGATCCGTAGATGAGAAAATCAAACCTAATTCTCACAGATCGTCAGATGACATCGATGTTCGTATTTTACAATGAAATATGAAATTAAATTTTCTAGCAATTCTCTCATTATTTGTTGTTTTTTCAGGTTTCAGAACACAGTAAAGACCATACTGATCATATGGATTATAACACTCAAAAATCTTCTCAACCAACTCACAAACAACTTGAGAAGAAATCAAGTGTGGACACTCCTGTCCAGAGAAAAGAGAGCAGTGAACATACTGATCATGAGACTGAACATACCACTGATAGCGAAGAAGTAAAATCGGGAGGACAGCGTGTTTGGTCGTCAGATCTCGAATCTCGTATAAGCTCTTTACTTTACGAACAAACAAAAAAATACAATCTTGATGAAGTGCCGTCGAATAATTCCACCAAGCCTTCAAAGTCCAAAGACGATGACCAATCTTCCCACTCGTCGAGGAGGAAAGACAAAAAATTGTCGAAAAAATCAAAACGGAGTAAAAAACACTCGATTGATTCATATGATTCAAATACAATGGACTCTCCTCATCACGCCCCTTTAGAACGAGCACGATCGTCTGAGAGATCTAGCACTAAGCGAGAGAAAAACAGAAAAAATTCAGTTCCGAATTCTCCTTTACCCGACCCATTTTCGAGACATTCTCCTCCGCCTAGAGACTTCGTGTCACCTCCGAGAGACTTTGATCAAGGTTCGGGGACCAGTAGGGAACTGCCTTACCCACATCACGATAGAGATATTATATCTCATGATAGACGCGATTCTAGATCGAGAAGTCCTGGACGAAATACACAATTTTTTAACCCCCCACCTCCTCACAGGTTTTATGACGAAAGGGATAGATTTACTCCTCCTTTATATCATAACCGACATCCTGTCAGTCCTCGGCATTCGCCTAGGTTCGGTCAAGATCACAGGATTCCTGATAGAGAACGGTTTGACCGGGATTTTGAACGTTTCGAAATGTTCCGAGGGGAAGATAGAGACTTTCATAGACGGGATGATTTTCCGTACAGAAGACGTGATATGTCTCCCCCACCTAGGGGAATGCCGAGCCCTCCGAGACGACATCGAGGGCATTCCCCTGGGGCTCGGCATTCCCCTGGTAGGTGGTTACCCCCTGATCGGTTTTCTAATCATATACCACCTCATCGTCGGCATTCACCCCCGCCACACAGAGACTTTTACCCCAACCCATCTCGGGATAGGAGTCCCAGACCGTTCAGGCGTACCCCTAGTCCTGAAAGAAGACGCTTTCGTACTCCTGATGACATGCGACAACGCCGAGAACCAATCCATGAACGACGTAGACGTAGCCGATCACCAAGTCCAAGACGACGCCAAAGAACACGAAGTGGGGAAGAACGAGTAAAACCAAGGTAATGTCTTATTAACTCGTTAACATATTTTTTCACATACATCGAAGTTCATTTATCTGAAATGAATAAGGGATTAACAATTTAATACCCAACATGGACTAGTAACTGGCCGGACAAGAGACAATGGTTCGCAATATGATTGAACCGTATTACTGACTTTCCTCTTTCTGTTTTCAGAAGGAAATCATCGGACGCCAGTTCACCAAAGTTATCTCTTGACCAGAGACTTCAGCAGATGACTGGAGAAAAAGTAAAATCGGAATCGAACGAAAATCATCTGGTCAAACCAAAGGAAATTGATAAAGATAACGAGGTTTGTTATTAATAATAATAATTTACCTACATTTGTATTTGAAGAAAAATGTTGGTTTTGGCCAATCATAATCTATAGTTGAGATTGATTTCTGCTAAATGACCTTAATTTCACAGAAATCCGAGGACGACGATTCTAACTGTGAGCATAATTCCGTCGACATGGAAATCTCCGAAGGTGAAAGCGAAAGTGAAAAAGCTAACAGAGATCAGGAGAGTTTAAACGCTAAACAGCAACTACAACAACAAGAAGTAAATAATTTCCAACTTCCAACAGGACATCTTCCGAACCAAGAACAATGGAATTTTAACAAAGAAATGCCATGGAGCAGTTTTGATCCGAGGTAATGGATATCCAAATCATCCAAATTGTCTTGTAGTCTGGAAATTTGTATTGCAAATATTTAAATTTTGAATGACGCAATAACCATAATAAATAATATAAATATAAAAATTTTCAGTATCAGCATGCCACAACATATGGATACAAGAATGTGGAATCCAATGCAACAAAATTTCTTCAAAGGTAATAAATTTTTTTCATGTAACAAAAAGACACAAAAAAACACTCAAGAGTTTACGACACTCACTCACAAGTACACTCAAAAGGCAACTGCTGACTCATTTTATGCTACAACAGTTTATTTTATATTTGTAGAGATAGTTATTTAATTTTGATCAATTTCACCTAATTCAAAATGCGGTTTAAATCTATGTCGTTGTGGCGTCGAGTTTGTAGCTTTTTTTCAATCATATTTATATGAATTGCTTAAATTCCTGTGTCCTGTACTTTCTAAAACATATTACTCTGCCAAAATTTTATATAGTTTCAATACCTCTTGTTATCTCAGTTGTCTCCTGTCATTTCGCTCAGAGATTGTCTCTTTTTCATGTGAGTGAGTGCGAGTGACTTCATACTGAGCATATTCTCTTGTTATTTACTTTGATCAATATTTTTAGGTTTTCAACAAGATCCCAGATTTCCACCACCATTTCCTTCTGGTTCCCAGTTTCCACAAAATCGTTGGCCAGATGCTTTTCATCCCGCGATGCGTCATGCAGGCGTGTCGCATCCATTTAACGTCAGACCAAACGTACCTCAAACTCATCTCGGCTCAAACGAAGAGCCTCGACCTGGAATGTCCAACGACGAAATCCAAAGAAGGTTCGAAGACTATCAGTTATCCAAGCATGTTCTCGATGACGTCGTACAAGACTTGAAAGCGATTGTCAGTCGTGATTTGAATCGGAAAGTTATTGAAACAATGGCTTTTAAGGTAAATATGCTAAATGTTTATTATGGTATGATATGTCATGTTGCTAAATTGTTGTTGCTGTTGGACAAAATGAACAATTCTTCCAGATGGTTGAATCCGCTAGGAGAATATTATTTTTAATTTTTTTTTAGTATCGCTTGAAATTTTTTTTAGATTTTATTTAAAGGGTTCACTTTTCATCCACATAACGCTTAACCGCCTACCTTGCGCTTGTGCGCTTATTTCATCAAACATGGTGCATACTCGTTGTCACTTTTGGGACCCGGAAATGATAAGTCGATTTGCCAGACTCGTTTTATTGAAAGTATTCAAAACGGTTGACTAAAATACAAATGAAATAATTAGCACCAAGTAAATCAAAGACAACTGATACAGAATATTAAACTAATACTTACACAAAACAACTCCATATAACAGCATAGTCCCCAAAACGACAGATATACAACCAAGGTAAAACAGTAACTATAAATGCAATACCATACGAGCTGTAGACATGCAAATATCATAATGTTATATCGAACGATTCGAAATACAGTATAAAAGAAGACTATTGAATGAATTCAAACTTCAACGTTATAAAGGCGATGTAATCTTAAACTGCCATAACAAGAAATGAAATCCTAAACTGCTACCACCAGAAATGCAATCTTAAACATCTTGCTGAGCTTAGGGGACGATAATAAAATAAATACGTAACACGATAACACGTGAAAGAGAAAAATGCGACACGTCGAATACGAGAAAACAACACAGTAATGATGACGACGACGAGATAGCGATAATCATCACGATGACGATGTACAACTGAAGGAATCCTAACTAAACTAAACTTTAGGACCACACGGACTGCCGACAAAGCCACCCCATGACTATCCGCAGGAAGTCATTCTTCTAGGAGGCAGATTTTCGATGCGGGTCGAATATGTATGCCATTTATAGTTTTAACCGCGACAGTTCGGACTCGTCCGTCAGAACCAGGGTAAATTTGAATAACACGACCAAGTTGCCAACGTCCTCTCGGTGCAACGGGGTCAGAAACGAGCACCAGATTTCCTTCTTGTAAGTTTCGTTGTTCCTTCCGCCACTTACATCGTGTCATCAAATTCGGTAGGTAATCTTTTCGCCATCTTCTCCAAAACTGATTACAAATAGCTTCGGTTTGCCTCCATCGTTTTCTGTAGCATAATTTCATCACGTCTGAATCCAGTGGAAACACTTTGGCCGAATGCCCTTTCAACAAACAATTTGGTGTAATGGCACTAAAGTCGGTTGGTTCGTCGCTCACTGTTGTAATGGGTCTACTATTCATGATGTCGGTAACCCTCGCAAACGCGGTCTTCAAGACTTCGTCGGTTACACGCACATTCCCCAGAACTGCTTTCAAAGCACGCTTTGCGGACTTTACTAATCTTTCCCAAACGCCACCAAAATGGGGAGCGTAAGGTGGAGTGAAATGCCATTCAATATTGTGTTTTAAGCACAGTTCTGCCACGCGAGATTCATCTATCGAGTTAAGGACGGTTTTCAGCTCTCGGGAACCACCAACTATATTTGATCCGTTGTCCGACCATATTTGGGATACAGGTCCTCGTATCGCAATGAAAGACAAAAGTACACATATGAAGGAATCAGTATCCATAGTCCATGCCATCTCAATGTGTACAGCTCTCATTGAAAGACAACAAAACAAACACCCCCATCGTTTCTCTAAGACCCTGCCTCTCTTTGTTTGGATCGGGCCGAAGAAATCCAGCCCGACATTTTCGAACGGTCTTGCTTCAGTAACACGAACTTTGGGAAGATTCGACATCAGTGGGGTTCTGCAACTTGCTCGACGTCTTTTACATTCCCAACAATTATCAATTATTCGTTTGACAAGTTTTCTCCCTTTTATATGCCAGTAGCGCTGTCTTAATGCGCTAAGCGTGGCCTCTGGACCGGCATGTGCGAGTCGAATATGAGCAGCTTTCATTATCAACCATGAAATTCGACATGGGCAGTTCGTATCACATTTCAAACTTGAATACGGCAGTATAATAGGATGTTTCGAACGCAGTAGGATATTGGCATTTTCAAGACGGCCCCCGACGCGGATCACTTGTCCATCGAAAAATGGCGTCAGATTAAGTAACGTTGATTTTGATGATAAATCTTCTCCGTTAGTTATGCATTTGCGCTCCACGCGGAAATGCTTGTTTTGAGCAGAAACTATCCAATACCGGCCCGCGAGTTCCAACTGTTTAGGAGTCACAAGTTGAGCTGGCAGCGGGCTATACGTCGGACATTTCACAGAAAGATTCTTAAAATACCGAGCTGCCAACAAAACCACGGCAGTTCGTTTGCATAAGGAAAACCACGAATCAAAACGTTCGACATCGACGACCTTTTCGATTTCCGAATCAAGTACTCCATCGCTGTTATCCGTAGTTATAAAACAATCTGCTAGTATGCATGTTTGATATTTAATCTCTTGGTCGTGGTCGTCAACTGCACGTAACGCTATCTGGCTTGGCCAATCACTTTCGGGCATGAGCAAAAACTCTGGTCCATGTAGCCATCGATCAGAATTTTCTAGAAATTTGGAAACCGTCATTCCCCTAGTGCAGTAATCAGCGGGATTCTGTGCGGAGTCGACGTACTTCCATTGGTGTGGCCGAGTGTGATCGAGTATTTCGCGAACGCGATTGGCTACAAATGTTTTAAATCTTCGAGTTTTATTTTTTAAATATCTCAATACACAAGTCGAGTCGGACCACATATGTACGTCGCCTAGTGGAAGGGATAGTTCTTTTCGGAGAAAATTTAACAATCGCACGGCCAAGAGAGCACCTTGCAATTCTAAACGAGGCACGGTCATACCTTTCATAGGTGCGACTCTTGCTTTAGCCGCGATAAGACTACACTGAAAATTCTCCCGGTAATGCTTCGATATTATGTATGCTACCGCACCATATGCCACTTCTGATGCATCACAGAATATATGAATTTCATACGAGGAACTTTCACATTTAACACCTTTAAATTGACGTGGAATCGAAAAACTCTTTAAACATTTCAGCGAATTTATCCAATTTTCCCAACACTTCAATCTCTTATTATCAAATACTTCGTCCCAAGCTAAGTTGTCACGCCAACATTCCCGCAGTAATAATTTGGCATACAAAATGATTGGTGCTACAAATCCTAATGGATCGAATATTGAACTGGTTACACTAAGGGCCTTTCTTTTCGTGGTAAATTCAGTAAATTTCTGGTGGTCGAATATAAAGCAATCCTTCTCGATGTCCCAATGCAAGCCCAGAGCTTTTCTAACAGGTAATCTGTCCAGATCTAAGTCGACATTAGTGACGACACGTCCACTGGATATTTCACGTAAAACCGATTTAGAATTCGAAACCCACTTGGTCAAGTTGAATCCTTTATCGTGTAACATCTTAATCATATCTTTAGCTGTCGATACCGCGGAATCAACATTCCATTTCGAAGTAAGTAAATCATCGACATAAAAGTCTCTATCGGTAGTTAATATTACGTCTCTAAGAAACTTGTTTCTACTATCGTACGCAGCTCTCTTCAAACAAAAGTTTGCGACATAAGGTGAATCCACAGCTCCAAAAATACGAACTAAGAATTTATACACATCTGGCCGTTTGGTTGAAAAAAGGTCTTCCGACCAGAGAAAACGTGCAGAATCCGTATCATCTTCCGGCAATCGAATCATATGAAACATGGCTTCTATATCGGCGCTTATAGCGATTGGTCTTTCCCGAAAACGTAAAAGCACCCCGACTAGATTATTGATCAAATCGCGCCCGGACATCAATCGACTGTTCAGACTGACGCCGCAGCAAGTAGATGCCGCGTCAAAAACAATTCTTAGTTTATTTGGCTTGTTGGGATTTTCAACGCCATGATGAGGCAGAAACCAAGTTCGAGGACCGCGAAACGCCTTTTCATCTGAAGTTAGCTTACGCACCCAACCCCTTTCAATATTCTTTGCCATTTCTTTACAATATAAGTTTCGCAAACGTTCGTTTCCTTGGAGTCGTTTTCTAAGATTTTCGAACCTGTTAAGCGCTACGTGTTCGTTTTGCGGCATTTCGCAATTTTCATTTCTCCACATAAACCCAACCTCGTAATGACCGTCGATAAATCTAATTTTTCTTTCCATCAAATTATCAGTTTGTCTATCTTCAATCGACTCGCTACGGGTCAAATTGTACGCCGTGCCTACAGCTTCAGTGGACCAAAATCGCTCGACTTGTTCTTGCAGCATGTTATACTGGTCACGCAAATCACAACACAGCATATTTGAAACAGTTTCATCTTCATTAGTCGCGCCTGAAGACCCGATCAAAGTCCAACCGAGAGGAGTTTTAATACCCACTGGTTCATGTTGCTGGCCGACTCTACGTTCAAGCTGGAAATGCGCTAAGGGATTATCGGCTCCGATTAAAATCATGGCTTTGTTCGCTTCAATGTCGGTTAACGGAATATCCTGCAGGTGAGTCATATTGTGATCGTTCTTAAGGATTCTAGCTGGATGTGGTATGCGTGACTCGACCACAAACACGTTGCTTAACATCAGAATTTGACCACTCTCGTCGTGAGCAGATCGCACCGACAATTTCACCACCTCCGTATTTTGCGAAACGCCCTTATTGCATAAGGTGTTAATGGTTAGACACCTAGGACTTCCTTTTAAACCAAGTTTTTGTTTTAATTTGGGATGTATTATTGAGATTTGACTGGCAGAATCTAGAACAGCGATAGCATATTCAGAGGATCCCAATGGGCCTTTTACTACGACTGGCAAAAGCTGAAACTGAACACCATTAACGCCTGAAACATGAGAATTGGCAACGCCGCTCATATGAGGAGGGAGATCAGGCTGATTGTTATCACTCAATCTATTAGGAACGACTCTCAAACCATGGATGGCTGAATGATGCTTACCGGGACAAACACGACACATATTGCGGAACCGGCACGAAATAGCTAAATGTCCAGGTTCGAGACAGTTAAAGCACAGGCGTGAATTTAGTAGAAATCTTCTTTTCGTGTCATTGGCACTAAACCTGAAGCTATCGCAGTTACTTAAAGAATGAAAACCATTGCAATAGAAACATTGCATTCGCGGTTGTTCGAGCGGCTGATTTGAATGACCCGATAAAGGGTATACCACATTCTTCTTAGGAAATGCCTGTCTGCGATCGTCACGATCTATTTTAGTACTGAAAAGATTTGGTGAAAAAGGATTTCCTAATTCCTCGCATCGTTCCCACAACCACTGCTCGAAGTCCAGTAAACTCGGCATTTCGTCGGCACGAATCATATCAGTCACAAACTTATTCCAACTCGAGGTCAGTTCTACCGGAATTCGCATTGCTGTCTTTCTAACATTTTCAATACTATACAAATCTGCAAGCAATCGCATTTTCTTCAAATTTATCACAATGTCGCGAACTTCAGAATGAAAATCGGATATTTTTCGGATACTGAATTCTGTTACTCGTCTACCATCTACAACCTTCTCGAGAAAGGCCCGAGCAATCGTCACCCGTTGGCCGAATATATGTTTCAATTCACTCAACGCGACAATATAATTACTTCCCACCGTGCCTAAGCCATCGACATGTCGTTTAGCCACCCCCGTCAAAGACGCGACTAAGCGAACCATACGCGAACCGTCGTCGTCAAGAGAACTGTGTACATTATCAAAAAATAACTCAATAAAGTTTGGCCATTCTAGGGGCGTTCCGCTAAAACTAGGAATCGTAATCGGCGATAAATGGTGCTGGGACAAGATTCTAGAATTCAACTGTAATGATAACATAGTTTGTTCCTCTACTGACATATTAAAAGAATTAACAGAAAATTTACCAGACTGGTTAGGTTCCAAGTGGTCAATCCACGCGTCGACTGCTTCTTGTGGTATAAGCATTCTGTTTGCAGGAGACGGGCGGTTGTAAGTTCGTGCTGTCGGGAAGTGCAATTCTTTGGTCTTTTCTGAATTTGTTGTCACTTGACTCTTCGTCGGAACAAAAAAGTTCGCTGCACTTCGTCTGCGTGTTGACTCTAACGGATATTCAATATTGACGCCACGGAAGTTATCTTTAGGCATCTTTTTGGTAGCCAATTCAGTCTTTTCTTGTTCAATTTCACGCATAAGTTCGTCAGCTTGGCGACGTGTTAGATCTGCCATTCGTTCTTTTTCGTTTATGTCTCGACGTTTGGTATCAAGGCGACGCTCTAGTGCTGATATTTTATTGCGAATGGTATCTTCTTCTGTGAGAAAGTCTCGTTTAGCCATACGTACAAGAGAATCGGCTCTTTCTACCTCTCGTTCTTGCTCAAGTTGCAATCGCTTCAGTGATTCAACACTGCATTTGCTTGTATTGGATTCGACAGACCCGTGATCAGAAACGATCTCCTCGTCAAGGTAAGAATTAATTCTGCTTTCAATTTGATCGATTTTCGATAACATCATTTGCCTTCCAGTTTCATATTTCTTCAAAACATTTGGATTACGGGTAGTCGGAATGAGTTTATCCATCACTTGGTCATAAGCAATTCGTTTAACATGAAGTTTAATTTTAAGATCAGTAACGATAGAATTTTGAGCATTTTCAGTAATCGATTTTGAAATTCTGTCGCACAAACCATTTAGTTCATTTTGTAGTCGGACTCTTTCGTGGCATAATACATTGCGTCCAATAGTTTCAGAGTTACCGTCGTCTGTTTCCGCGAGAGGAACTGCAGGCGAAGAAGAAGCTTCTCGTCTATTCAAATCTTGTGTAATTGATTCATCTGCTTCGTTCATCGTCGTCGCAAGGAGATTTGTTCAACTTTGTCACTTTTGGGACCCGGAAATGATAAGTCGATTTGCCAGACTCGTTTTATTGAAAGTATTCAAAACGGTTGACTAAAATACAAATGAAATAATTAGCACCAAGTAAATCAAAGACAACTGATACAGAATATTAAACTAATACTTACACAAAACAACTCCATATAACAGCATAGTCCCAAAACGACAGATATACAACCAAGGTAAAACAGTAACTATAAATGCAATACCATACGAGCTGTAGACATGCAAATATCATAATGTTATATCGAACGATTCGAAATACAGTATAAAAGAAGACTATTGAATGAATTCAAACTTCAACGTTATAAAGGCGATGTAATCTTAAACTGCCATAACAAGAAATGAAATCCTAAACTGCTACCACCAGAAATGCAATCTTAAACATCTTGCTGAGCTTAGGGGACGATAATAAAATAAATACGTAACACGATAACACGTGAAAGAGAAAAATGCGACACGTCGAATACGAGAAAACAACACAGTAATGATGACGACGACGAGATAGCGATAATCATCACGATGACGATGTACAACTGAAGGAATCCTAACTAAACTAAACTTTAGGACCACACGGACTGCCGACACTCGTACAGAAATATGACCTTTGACCCTTCGTGCCCATATATTCAAGCATTACTCTATTGTTCAATTTATAATGGCTTAAAATCTTTTATTGTAGGTATATGAAGCTTGGTGGGACGAAAATGAAAACACTATTGTTAAGAAGCCTGCTATTCCTAAAGTATCATCGTCATCGGCATTAACTGACAAAAATACGACTAACGAAAACAATGTCACTGTCGACGAATCGAACAAAGAAAATAAGACCGCGGCTTCGAACGCTGGAAACAGATCTCTTTTGAATACTTTCGATCCTCTCAATTGGGCTAAAAACTCGTTCGAGATGGACGGCTTTAGAGTTGGGCTCGGGCTCCGTTCGGCAATATCAAAAATGCCCTCTTTTAGAGTCAAAAAACGTTCCCGTACTCCAACACCTCCAAGAGAGAATCTCGAAGATTCAGAGGTTGCTGTTAGCAAGAAGTCTAGAAAGTTACAAGACAAGGAAAATCAAGGTTTGTATAATGGTCAGATATGGCTTATACACAGTAATCTACTATTTCAAATACGTTCCAAAATAATATTTTCCATACTAGAATATAACGAATATATTCCAAATTTGATGTACACATAGAAGTCTATGTTTATTTATTGAATTTAATGAAATGCTGGAGCTAAAATAAACAATGATTTGTTTTTTCTCGACAGATTTTAAAAATTCACTGAAGACCTTGATTATATGACTATGATTAACTTAAGGCAGGGGTGGCTAACCTATGGCGCATGCGCCAAACGTGGCGCATTGCATGATTAGAGGTGGCGCATTGCATCTTTAACCCTTTTCATGCCAAAATTGTTAATTGCACTTGGCTTCTTCACGCCAAGCCGTTTTTTTGCGATTTACATGGTGACTTTCGATTGTACCTAAAATCTATTCTCCTTACTCCACGTCACCCACTTACGGCTTGTTGGAATTAGAAACAACAGGCGATTATCGACGTTAGCTTTTGGACGGACTTTATGACATTCATTCTAGACTTTTAGCAAAAATTAGTAAAATTTACTATTTTTTCCCTACTGAAGTAAAAAGTTCAGAACTTCTGGAAAAATAGAAAATCGTCATTTATCAGCTTGAAACATGGATTTTCCATTGCCCAGACTTCCCACCTTTTTCATCCAAACTTCAAATGACCGTTGTCAACAAAAGCGAAGGGTAAAATCGCTTGCTGTGACGCAAGTACTAATCTCGAAGAAGCCTGGAGTAAGTCCCAAGTGCATCTGACATGATCAAGTTCTAGCAATTGTTACCCCGTGAAAATTTTCCAGAACTGAGAAAATTTGCCCAGGGTTTTATATGTCGTTTCGGAACGACATATAGATGTGAACAAACATTTTCTGCAATGAAACTAATTAAAAGCAAAGCGAGGTCAAGACTTACAGATTTAAATTTGAAGAATGCACTGCTCCTCTCAGTAACAAACTTAACTCCAAGAATAAAAAACTGGCGAAAGTAAAACAGCAGCAAAAGTCTCATAAAGGCGGTACTTAAATAAAATTGATCAGTTTTATTTATTATACTTCTTTGCTTAATTTCTATTCATGTGAAGTTGTAAATTGTAAAAACTACATATACGTGTGTATATATGTGTGTGTATTATAAATTTATATAATTTGAACAAGAAGCGGACATTAGGCATGGGAATACAAGAGATTTACGGCGCATCTGAAACATTATGTTTAAAACGTGGCGCATGGTATGTGAAAGGTTGGCCACCTCTGACTTAAGGAGTGCTATTTGTTCGCAATATTTTGAAATTAACTTTTTTTAATCAATTTTTTTTAAATGCCTTTTTTGAATTTTGTTCAAACTAAATGATTAAGTCATTTCCAAATTAAGTTTTTTTGAAAAAAAAAATTTAAAAATAATATTTTTGTAAATTCTTATTCAGAACAACCAAGAAGAAGGTCGAAAGATAAGAAATATCACAGAATTGCTTTGGATAGTGAGGGAGAGGATGAGGAGGAAGAAGAGGAGAATCTGAGTGAGGAGGAAGAGAGTGCAGATTCTGAAGCTGGAGAGAAAGAGAAATATACTGGTAAGAACAATGCTGTGAAATTTCCCAGTTCAAAATTGATGAAAACTGATTTTTATTTCATCTCTGTCTTATCTAATTGGGTGCTCCCGAAGTATGTGAACCAAGATGGCGGACACCGGAATGTAGTATGCGTACCAGGTTAGGGTTAGGCCATAATTTCATGGGAGTCACTTGGCTAGTCCCCGAACTCGTAATAGAACTAAATAGGAAAAATTGGAATAAAATTATGGCCCAACTCTAACCTGGTTCACATACTTCGGAGGTACCTTTAATTGTGTATATGAGACATGTATATCTGTTTTGTTCCTCCTTTTTATTTATGGTTAGTGAGGGAACATTGCTTTTAGTAATGATAAATAAAAAATTTTGGACAAGTTGAGATATGAACTATGTTTAGAATATTATTTTAGTATAGGCATGCTTAGAATCAGTGGTGTATATTAGGGGTCAGAATTTGAAACTTCTAGATAACAGTCAGAAAACGAGTCAGATATCTCGATTATCACTGTTAAAATTCTGTTATCTGTGACTTGTATAAAATCTTATATAGAAGTCTCTCGACAGTTAAATAAGTTTGATTGGCAATGCCAACTTGGAAAGTTTCCGACCTTTCCAAATAATAGCGACTCCTTATATATCATCGTTAGATATCTGTTAGATATCTGCCGCTTATATTGCACCTTGTCTGGAGCCAAAAGCATTTGTACTAATAATAATCATCTTATGTGTCCGTGTTCTAAGTTCTTGATGTCGACGAGATCTTCAGCGAGTCATCAGAAAGTAGTGACGAATCTGATTCTGATATTGAAAGCGAAAAAGCAGCAGAAACATCTGATGAATCAGAATCAGAAAACGAAGCTTTATCTAAAGAGGTATTTTTCCAACTAAAAACTATTTATAAAAATTATTTGATGTTATTTCTTATTATTTAAATTTTTCTAAATGAATTTGTAATTTGTGTAATTTTCTCTTTGTAGAATTTGCCTTAAAATATTTGCTTTTTTTGGTTCGCTCATCAGAAAAGTGTCACTCACTACCCTACTTCCTTTTAACCATTTTAATTAACTTTCAATAACATTTAATTGTTTTCACACTGCATTATAATACCTAATAGAAAAAAGAAATCTCTAATTCGAAACCAATTATACCTGACATTGATGTTGAAACTGTGGATGAAGATAATAAAGAGAAAGAAAAAGATAGAGAAAGTGAGGAGGAGAATAAAAATGAAAAAATGGATACCGATGAAAATAGTAGACCGTCAATTTTGGACGGGTAAGAGTAGTTCAAAAAATAGACCTAAAATTAGTTTTATTTATTAGAATTATTATTTAGAGCAGTGGTGAAGCTAATTAGAATAAAAAATATTTGGTAGATTTGATCTTGCCTGCCTTAATTTAGATATAGACATTTCGGGGCTTCCGAAGTATGCGAACCAAGATGGCGGACATCGGAATGTAATATGTGTACTTGGTTAGGGTTAGGCCATAATTTTTGGTATAAATACTAGAGGAGGCTCTTGGCTAGTCTTCGAACTGATAATAGGACTAAAATAAGGAAAATTGGAAAAAAATTATCGCCTAACCCTAACCTGTTACCCATGTTACGTTCCGATGTCCGCCATCTTGGTTTGCATACTTCGGGAGCACCGACATTTCATTATTGTTTAGCATTTGTGATTCCATCCACATATTTTCAACGCGTTTTCGAATAAAAGCGTTTAGCGTGTACATATGATTCCCAAAATAAAATTAATTCAGTTTCACTTTTTACACGAAAAAAAAAGTTTATCTCCAATATTTGTAATACCAAATTTAATTATCATCAATTTACGAGGATATCTGCTGAACATGCTCCTCAATTTACTCGTATCTGAAAATATGGTTTTAGAATGTAGATAATACATATAAAATATATTCGGAATAGTAAATTCTTCAATAGCAAATCCTGGATAACACTATAAACTAGTATTGATGTTGATTTTTGTTCAATTTTGAAGCCTTTTTGATCCTCTTATCTTCATTTCACAAAAAAAAAAAAATTTTATGTATTTCCACTTTTCCAAATGACAAGCGAGGGCCAAACAGCATTATTTACATTTTTAACAACTTTTTGCAGTAAACCACCTATACCAAAGCCAATCGAAAAATTACAATTACCAAGCGAAGATCCAAACCTTGCTGCCTCATTGCTGTCACCTACTGCCCATGGTATTTCACCGAACAGTGCAATCACTCCTCAACAATTACGTCACGTTCATCCAAAGAAAAGACACAGACTATGGTCACAAGAAGCCTTCTCGAAGGTAATATTAAAGTACTCAAAAGCTTTGTTTGTAGTAATGTACTATTTCCATATTAGAAAGGTTGTCTATATTGGATGCTCGCTCTAATACCACAGAACAGTTCTGGATTGGTATGAAATCGAAATTATTTATTGTGATTTCAATATTTTTTTTCATTGTTTTAGATTCCTGACAATAAACTCACTACAGATGATGAATTCTCATCGGCCAGCAATAAAGAGAAAACACTCATGGATACACAACTCACTCCTGAAAGAAAATTGTCAACGTACTCAGATTCATCTCCCGCTCCTGGCACTCCTAAGACTCCAACTACACCACAAAAATTATTTCCAACTACCAGAAAACTCGACGAAAAACAAAGCGGCTCGAGTCCACAAAAGGACCTCGAAGCTGTCGCCAAAACACTCTTATCTATCGGAAAAACTATACCCCCAATTTCGCCAACCCCAGATTCTACCTCACAGCCTATTACGCCCGAAAAGCGTAAGAGTACTTTGAATTCGTCGACAGGCGAAGATAAAGCACGCATGGCTGAATTAGCGGAAGAACACAATTATTTTGTTCCGTCGTATGGTCCCGCAAGTCCGCATCCAACACTCGACCCAATGGTTTCTCAAATTTTGGAAGAGCATTGCTACAGGTATATGATTATTTATGAAGTTAACTGATCGACATTATTTGATGGGAAAGTGAACCAACTCTCTATCAAGCGAATATGGTTGAAATATATTCTCATTCGGAGTGTTTTTGATTTGAGATGCTTGTCCAATTTAAATATCCAAATAATTTTACATAAATATTAGTGGTTGCGCCTCTCATACCAAGAAATAGAAGAACCTTTGAGGTATTAAAAATTATAGAGAAGTTTTTAAGTAATATTTCTGAAGATGTATTTAGTATTGGGTAAATACAAGATGCAAAAATGTTTTTTATAACGGTATGTGCAAATTTTTAATGAAGGCTTCTTATTTCAGTCGACCCGAATCAGAGCAGATATCGTTGGATGTCGATCGTGTGAAAGGTAACAAACATAGATTATCATGAAATCATAACTACTTTTGTAAAGTAATACAATAACAAATACTGAATTCGGTACAAAAAACCTGAAAAATGTGAATTTTATTGACTATCCTTACCCCAAAATCAAACTTCTTTTAATTGTTCTAGTTGCGTTCATATATCTATGTAATGGCTCGTAATATGTTATTGGGCTTTGTTGCTAGGGGAAACATGAAACACCTCATAAATAGCTTTATTTAATATATGATAGTGATTTTGGATGAAGTTGTTGATGCTTTAAATTGTAGTTTGTGACATCCTGTTCAAACTGACGTGACAAAATAACAGCATTTTGAATAAACAATCTGATTTCGTTTTCACAAAATATTTGAGATCTCACATATTTATTTATTTTTTCCAGGAATTTCAAGTCCTCTATCTGTATCGACATTGTCTGTGTCATCTGTTTACAACTTTGATGATGAATCATCAGTATGTATTTCATTATTATTAGAATTTTTTTTTTTTTTTTGGGGGGGTTCATCTTTATAAAAGATAATTCATCATTTTTATGATGATTTTCCATATTTTTATCATTAGGATTTTTATTTATGATTTTGATTTTTATGATATAATTCATGAATATGGAAGAAAATTACTGGATTTTGACTGGTTTTATCTCATTTTCATAATTACGATTTTTTTGAGAACATCTTTCAACATTTCCTCATGTTTTTTGTCTATTTCAATTTTAGGAGGTTATTTCTGCTGCGGAACGAGTGAAATTAAGGCGTGTCAAACCAAAAGACAAAAAACGAGGACAAAAAGAAAAACGCTCTGTGCAACGGCCAGTTGTTCAGTTCTCTCCTCGATCAGAAGTCGACGAAATGATGATTTTATATGAAATGTGGTATAACGGACTCGACTTAGAAGACATGAAGGTATCAATTTATTATGTTTTTTTGTGATTTTCAATTTGGCTTTGGCGTTATAACGTTTGGCTTAGTTATGTTGCCATCAAAGGTTACAAATATCAGATTTAAGCTGAATGGTTACTGCCTTGACTTGAGTATGTTGGTATCGAAGGTTAGAAATCTCAGTTTCAAATCCCATGTCCACCTCCTCACTCAGAGTGTAATAAATTGAGTAGGCAATTTCAAACAGTAAAGATACGATTCCTTCTAAAACTAGTTCTGAACTTATATATGTCAGAGGCTGCTTCGTCATATTAAATTATATTCATGTTACCCATTTATTTTAAGTAATGACGGAATGAATTAGATACGCATTGACGAACTGGAAGTAATTCAATTTCCTATTCAAAATTAGTACCTTTTTGCTTGTACAGGGCTGTTTATATTAGAAAAGTGTTTCATTGTAAAAATAATCATATTCATTTTAACCCTTTTTTTCAGTATCTTCGAACTGTATATGAAGGGTATTTAGAAAAGTCTAACAGCCCTGCATGGGTTAACGATTCACATTGGGTAGCTCATCCAATCACAAATATACCTACTGTGTCATCATCGAAACGTAGAAAATCGAAACGAAAAAGTAGATCCGATAAATCAACTATAGAAGAAGAAGATGAATGGCATAAAACTGGATGTGCCAGAACCGAAGGTAATTGAATTTTTGTTGAACGTGAAGTGGAGTTATAGATTTTTTACTGAATCGTTGTTGGGTTGTTGCTGTGAAACACTTGTTAAGATTTTGAGTATGATTTGGGCAACTAGAAGGCCCTTTGCCTGTTTTGATACTCTTTATTCCCCTTTTCGCTATGCTTACAAATTCGTTTCCCCTTTTGTTATGCAATATTTAATGCGGAATTAGCTAGTGATGATACATACTACATTGACTCAAGATTTTGCACAGCCAAATGAGTTTAAAATTTGTGCATAAATAAGTATTAAAGTATAAAATAAGTTCTCAAAATAATTACAATGAACACTCTAGGACTCGAGGGATTGCCTTGGTCAACTTTATTATCAATTTGTTTTATGTAGTATATACATAATGATATTGGTATTTACGAACGCACAATGCCACATTAAGTCTTTTTAGTGTCAGCTCTTGGCGTTTCAGTCCTCGCTTGTAGAAGCTTCGCTTAGTGATCAGTCACTTACCGAGAGTTCTCGTGGCCTTTAATTGATCAAATATTAATAAAAAATAAATGAATTTTTTATATATTGGGATTTACTGTGTTGTTACATCCATCCAGCGTTATTATGAGCGAACAATATCATTTTCCTTATTTTTTAGGCTATTACAAGCTCAAAGATTTGATCAAGCTGCGTCAGAGACAAGAAATGTACGGCAAAGGAAACACTAGAACGCCCGCTCAATCGACGAAACAGACTTCTTCAAATAAAGTGTCCGAACTTACAAGCGGAGCGCAAAGTTGTCTCGACAAGAATCCTGGATCTCGTGAGACTCGGCATTTTATGAGACGAATAGCATCCGAAGTTGGAGCTGATGTCGGAGACTTATTTAAATACAACCAACTTATGGTAATGATAATGTTTTTGTGTGTTTTGTGGCAATTCAACTAGTGGTATTTCAAGAATTTACTTTGAAAATTGATTCTATACGTTTTTTTTTTGTAAATTTTGCAATTTTCATGTGAAATTATGATAAATGTTAAATTTTCAAGTCAATTTTAGCAATATCATTCATTATTAGTCAAATTGACGAAAAAAAAAGGGAAGTATTTTCAGTATACTAAACTAAAGATAGGTCTTTCGCAAAATGTTCAAAATAGGCAGAGCCTTGCTCAGGGTGAAAATGTCTCTCTCACAAGAAGAAATTGAGAATTGCATAACTGATAAAATATTGATTCTTACTCAAATGTCTGAATCAAAATTTCACAACCAGCCAGTCAAACTTGGGTCAAAGGTCAATTTTTTTTAATAGTATCTTTCATCCATATATAGTATATTTAAATCTATCTCTTCATTACTACTATTTTTAGTTCCGTAAAAAAGCTGTTAAATTCAAGAGGAGTAGTATCCATGGATGGGGCTTATTTGCCCAAGAAGCAATTGGTGCTGACGAAATGGTCATTGAGTATGTCGGACAAGTCGTTCGCACTTTGGTTGCGGAAAGGAGAGAAGTTAATTATACGGAACTCGGAATTGGTAGTTCCTATCTTTTCCGGATCGACTCCGAGCACATCATTGATGCGACAAAATGTGGGAACTACGCCAGATTTATGAACCATTCGTGTAATGTAAGTACTTTATATATAAAAATATGAGTAAAAGTAATTCGAAATGAATGTTATCAAGTTTTTACGAAGTTATTATAATTATTTTTCCAGGTTAGAAATGTTGGATTTGGGCCATTACCATTCACTTTTATCCTTCCTGGCGATGCTCAAACTTTTCACAAAGCCCCGGTGTTTAGGATAAATTTCAAATTAAGCGTAGCGCAACTATTTTCCTAACCCCTGTGTAACGGTGAAAATTAGGGAATTTTCTTGCGAATGTAGACTTGAACCCAAAATCTTTTACCACAACAGTACCCCCTTTTATTAAAGTGTTCACTCATATTTTTTTAGCCAAGCTGCTACGCCAAAGTGATCACTGTCGATACTGCGAAGAAAATTGTTATCTATTCAAAAGGACCAATCAAAGAATCTCAGGAGATCACTTACGATTATAAGTTTCCTTTGGAGGACGACAAAATTATGTGTTTCTGTGGTGCTGAAAACTGCCGACGCACTCTTAACTAGTTTTTGTTTACATTTTCGTTGTTTGTCAAAAAAATTTTCACCTACTTCTGTTGGTTTTAGTATTGTTGAAAATTGAGGAAAATTTTTTGACAAAAACCTTCCTTATTTTTTTAGAGTATGAGCATGGTTGTTATTTATACCTATGAACTTACAATTTTTTTGCAAAAAAATGTTTTCAAAATGATTTTGTGTTTTGAATTTGGATACCTCGAGTTAGGGTTGGAGCACCATGGGTATAATGTATTTTTAGGACCATTGTATTTCTATTCAGCAATCGACAAGAAAATCGTTTGGTACTGACTGAAATTTTTAGCGTATTCAGGCTGTTCTAATGTGCACATTGCTATTTTAGCAGGCAAATTGGTATCTAGTCGATAACATTGCTAAATGAAACTGCTCGCAGAAAAATTTGTCGACATCTATTTATTGGCATCCCTGTTAGGAAAATCCAAATATTGCTATTATCATGTGGCTATTCCCTTAATTGATATATTGGTACTCTTTTCCAGCACCTTTTGAAATATATTTTTTGAGGCTACAGGTTTTGAGTTTCAGGAGTAATTGGATAACACTCCTTGCTTTTGCTCAGGTTGATTCGCATGCGTTCAGTACAAGGACGCTGTAGCACAAGTAACTATTCTGAGAGAATCAGGGGCCTTGCTGCGCACTTACACTATTGTATTTCTGTAACTTTATTAAAATAGACAAAGCGATTTGCATGCATATTTAAGAGTTTCACATCATCGAGAGTTAGGCATGTTGAAAAATTAATTATTGAAACCAGCGATTGCTAACAAATGTATTTCAAATTGCGGTCGTCCTGATTTAATATTTTCTCACTATATAGCTCAGGGTGGTCCAAGGTTGTGGGCTCCGCAGGCCACAAAACTATTTTGGCATTGGTCGCAGGCCACTATAGTATCAAAAATAGGTAAACAGTGCAATACAAAACAACCACTTTTATTGTGTAAACCCATAGTTATCAGGCATTGCCAACCTAGGCTAAGGGAATCTGCATTCGATTTTTTAATTTTCTATCATGCCTATATTGTTAGCATATATTCCCGACCAAAACGATAGAAATCCAGGTAACAATTTATAGTTTAGACTACTCATCACATCATTCAATTTTGCTAGTTGCTTCAGCTAGCCATCATACTAGTCAATTCAGTTGCAATAGTGATATAACAACAATATGTCAAACGATTTTTCGGACTTATTTTATGAGAAATTCAAAATATGATATTTTGATTACTCTCCGAATGCGACGCGGGCCACAGCTAATTAAAGCGCTTCCTGATATAGCTCAAGACTAATTAAAACAACCAGTTATTTCAAAAATTTTCTACCAACAATCATAATAAGTACGGTCATACCTGTTCATAGAGTCCCGTTTCAATCGAAACTCTGTTTTGAAGCCAGTTCTCAATATATCTTAACCAGGTTTGCTTCATTTTAAGAGTTTTTTATTTTCTCACTACACCTTTATATACAGCTAACAGAGATACATTCCCCCTTTCAAATCTTTTTTTTAGAAAAAGCAGTCTTTATTTGACAATAACATTTTAATATATTTCAAATATCTGCAACACTTCATTCATTTGTGCAATTCAGACTAACCAACAATAGAATAATGCAAAGCGTAACAGTTTTTTCCAGCATGGGAAAGTGTAGTTTCAACATGGGCACTTTTAAATATTTCTAGGATGTATGGTTAACAATTGTTTAAGCCATTTCTGACCCCCAATCAAAAATGATGTCACTTAGGTGACACAATGATGTAATAAGGTCAGTATGCCAAAATAAAGTGCAATTATTATTGAAAAACCACAATGAATTTTTCAAAATAATTAAACAATGGGAAAATTTACAGTTTTCAATAATTCAAAAAAGCTGTTTTTGAAAATTTCAGAGTTGAAATATTCAATTTTTCATCCAAATACCTCAAATAGTAATTTGCGTTCTATTTTATATACGAAATTCAACTATCCTCTGACGAACCCATAATGGAGAGATAAAATCCTAGGAGACAGTTCTTGTATGCCACTCTGGACTCCTAAGAGCATTTTTTTTTTCTACAAATAAAACATGATAATGATAAAATGCCCTGTTTTTCTATTACAATTATATGATTGTGTAATCGGTATTCGCTATGAAACACAACTTCTTCTATCTACAAATTGTAAAGAAAAGGATATCAACCAAAAAAAATATTTCCTAAGAAAAAAGTCTAACACAATGCTTTTTTATCAAATTCTATCAAGAATAATAGTATTCAAGCGACAATTAGGATTTAAAGATAAAACTGAATTATTTCTGAGCGATTAAATATAACTGTCATCTACTTATAGTTGTTAGGTTGGATTTAAATTTGAAAATGGGAACACTTGTTTTTTACGAGTAGGACATGCTTCTAACAGGTATACTGCTTCAACTGGTAAATTTCTAAATTTGTATCAAAATTTCCTGCATAATATAGGCAGACAAGCACATGGGGGAAGACAAAAACACACATAACATATCACATTCAGTCAAGCATAGTTCACATGCGTAAACACGGCTGGCCATTTGTGAAAACGAGCTCCCAAAGTCAGCAAAAAATAACAGGATAAAACATGACACCAACATAAACAAAAAAAAATTCTGATATGTTTTAAACACAATGTAATCTCATATCATCACCATGGCGACAATGATTCCCCATTTTATTCATACTCTATCAAGTACGTCACTATTATACATAACTCAATGTTATTGGCTCAGATATTATCTAAAAAAGAACTTCCATTCATACAACAATGCTGCAACTCAAAATATATAACATTTCATAAACTCTTTTTAAACTCTAATAGTAACATTATTGATGCACTGGCTGCTGATGTTGTTGTCCTAAATCTTGTTGTTGTTGTTGATATTGTTGCTCTTGTTGTTGTTGTTGATGTACTGGTTCCATGTGCTCGGGTGGGGGGATATCTTGTTTTTCCATATGTTTGACTTCATCTCCTTCTGAGAGTTGAGCTTTTCGTTGGAGTTCTAGATATCCAGGTTCCCTTTGTTCTTCCAATTTTTCAACAGCGATTTCTTGCTATTTATTAAAAAGAATTGAAACAGCGTAAAGTAGAGTTAAAGCTTATATAAGTATTCGAAGATAGCACACATCTGTAATCTCACGAGTTACCTATTGTAGAAAAAAAAAATGTCGAGTTATGGTACTGGACAGTGTACTGGAGGATCACACCATTGACTCGACTTGGACCAGGATGACCCGTGCCTCTTGATTTACCGTATTTTATATGGTTCACTTTAAAATTTCTCTTTTCCCGACGCGATAGGGTGAGGGAATCGCGTGGCTTCCTCGGGTGACGGTTAGTGGAAAGAGATTTGTTAGAAGGGGTATAAAAAGTCACTTGGACCATCGGAGAAAAAGGGTAGAAGCCTATTTTGTTCACAAAAAAAAACGATCATGCACCCATTAAGCTGGTACACCTAATGTATGGATCAGGTAGTGCTTTATGCTCTATTACCAACATTCAAAACCAGTAACAGTTTCGCTTTAAAAATCATTGCGTCTCATAGCCTGATGCGCCTTATGTATGAATATAAACCGAATCTGAAAATTTTTGCTTTTGTGTCTAATGGTCCTTAAAATACTGTAATTCGAAGATGAGATTTTATCAATTATAATATTTCCTAAACAAAATTTCAAGAATAGAAGAAACTGCTATGATTCACTCTTCACATTTCAATGGTTAACCTTGCTCAGAGATGCATCTCCTCCATTTTCGAGTGTGTACATGTACGACTTGCTCTGAGCAAATCCTCTCGAAATTGTCTTAATCATGATTCTTTGCTATTACATCACAAAATTTGTAACTTAATCTTAAATAAAAAGTTGAATGCAGGATTTTTCATACCTTTCTCAATTCTTCTTTCATTTCCAATATTTCCCTGCTCTGTTCCTTGACATCTTCATGCATTTCTTGCAGAACTTTTTCTTCTTCCTTCATCTGTTCCTTCTTTTCTTCTAATTCAGCATGGTGGTATTCTTGTGCCTTATCTCCCATCTATAACAAATCATAATCATTTATTATTTTTCAAAGAAAAAAATGTTAGATAGTAAATGATTTTATTCACTATTTATAAGATTCTTCTAAGTGAGGACAAAGCACTTGAATGATAAATAGAATACAGCACGCTGCGATATTTTTCAATACTCAAGACAACACGAACCATATTTCTAGTTATTAAAATATCTTTTCAATAATGATCTATGATACCAAAACATGAGAGGCCAACTTAACCTCATATAAGTGATCACAAAGTTAAATGCTGATTCTTTTTATCAATGCAATATGGTTTTATTAGGTTAATTTCAAGCTGCGATATGCTTCAGTGGCGATGTACAGGATGGCTAAAAAAATGTTACCATTTTTACATTCTAACATCCTGTATATACAATTGTGAAATGTTGAACTCGTAATACGATTGAAAACAGGACAATATAATTAGCTGCCTGAACATAGAACTAATTAATGAAATTTTTGAATAGATCATAGTACTACTAATTTTGCTTTTGATTAAATGTCTCTGAATTCATGTTTCCCAAATTTTACAAAATATTTGAATATAGCAAATCATTATTCACATAAACGAACAATCTGATTCAAACACTTTCTTAACCATGTCTTATTTTAACCCAGATACCTGCATGCACTACGCTCAACCACTAGTGGTGTCATGAGAAAACCACTTCTATTGAAATCCTCCGAAGAGAAGAAAAATATTAATTACCTCGTGCACTCTTTGTTCCTGTTGATAGACTTCACTCTTTAAGCCGACGACAGTTTGAGCCTGTTTTCTTAATTCGTTTAATTTTTCTTTTACGTCAGCTTCTTGCTCTTCAATCATTTGCTTATATTCTTCCATTTCTTCTTTTGAGTATAAATCATCATCATCAATCATTTGGTCAACAGTCTAAATATCATTTCATTTTTACTATTTTTCATACAATGGTTATTCACAAAAACAATAAAATCAACTTACTTTATATGAATCTTCATTTGGTTTTTCAAATTCTGGTTTATCTGTATATCGCATAAATTCATCTAAACTTATTAAACCATTTTTATCTGAGTCAACTTCAGTCATAACGTGTTGTCTCATTCTGGAACGTTCCGCTTCCATTTCAATCATGTCATCTTCAGGATTGGCAGAATCGTAAACCTTTGCTAACTATAGTGAAAAAGATAAAGGCAAAGATATTTGAAATCAATAAATTTTTATTTTAATTTAGGCATAACCGGCATCATATATTTTTGTTACTATGGAAAGATTTACTTCTCATGAAAAAGAAAATATTTTTTCTTGTTACCATTCCAAGTTTGTATGAAAATAGCTAACTATCAAATAGTTAAAGTACATAGACTTAACAAATACAAATTCCTAACCTAGAGAACACCAAAATACAATTTGCAAGTGATTTGGGAATAATAAATGAATGAGTGATTTCATATACATATATAGTAGAGGAAGACATAATTGGGAATTGGTTTCGAGAACCAATCTATTAAGGAGAGGAAACTGAAAATCCAGATTGAAAAATTCAATACAAATATTGGCTAATAGTGAATTGGATGATGGCTGATCGTGTCCATTCTGAAACAAAAATAGCCATAGCCTGCTCTTTTTCCATAAACCCAAAAAGAAAATAGATTTGTTACTCACATCTTTCTCAAAAAGAGCTTCAAGTTCCATTGGATCCAAAGAATTATCACCATTTAGATCTGAATAATATATTATTTGATAATTATATGGTTGTAATGATTAATCAATATAAATTTCACTTTTCTTAATGAAATAAAAAAGAACTTTAAACAATAAATCATTTTATGAAATCGAAACCAAAATTCAACAAAATTTTTTTTTTTGAGTGAATCCAATATCTACATCAATTGATTAATTGATGACTGAAACCGCACTCACTCACGAACTTTTTATTTAATGATTCAAACCAAATAAATCAATCAAATTTTTGACAAAGAATTTACACAAATATTAGACATTCCATATCTGTCGTGCTCAGATAATAAATTATCGAATTCTGTATTGTATATTATTTCCAATATTAAAATTGACTCCTAGATAAAAATCCATTGCAAAAATCCATATTTTTTCACCCAAAAAACAGTAATTTTTAAAATTTTTCTAATTTATTCAAATTCTAAATATACCCTTGAAATATAATTCACATAATATAATCTAAAAATAACTAATAATATATAAACTCATGCAGATACCGGTAGTTCTTATGATACGTTATGCATGCAACATCATTTTATGTGGCGTGAAGCACGTTAGTTTTATGCAAGAAATCCGAGCGAGAGAAAAGTAGAAAGTGGCGAATTCATGCATCATGAGTGACTAAAGTCGATGTGTTACAATCGATAGAAAGAGTGAGGAATCGAGAGAGAGTGAATATGGGAGTGAAACAAAAAAACGCGATAAATTTTTCACAGGCCACCAAGTTATAAAAAGCACGAGTGTTTGTTTTCTTCGAGTTAAGAAGCTGGGCATCTCACCATGCAGTCTGAAAAAAGTTTTAGGTTGGAACTCCTGTCCTTTTAGGCCATCTTCTTCTTGCCAAACTTCCTCCATTTGGGCTTTGCTGCCCTGCGAATGTCATTCAAAATTATGTTTTATTTTGTGCGAGCAAATATGCGATCCAGGTTGCGAGTATTTAAATTGATTTTTCTACACAAATTGGGATGATTAAGTATGTATTCATGTGCAAAAGCAATCGACATGTTCATTCGGAAAGGCTTGAAGGTAATATCTCTAATCCAATGATTGATGTCATATGTGTCAACAAGTTTATGTGTATGTGTGTTGTGCAAAATCACATGAGAAGCTACGAGCAACATCCGAAGATATGTGTTTGAGACGTTAGTTCAGAAACAATCAATCAATGTGCTCATTGCCAAATATGTAATGATGTTGCATGCCGCCATTTTTCAATTTTGCGACTAACCATGCATTTTGAAGAAAGTACGAGGCTCGAAACGCTCGTCAGTTAAGCCGTCTTTTTCTTTCCAAATTTCATCCAATTGCGCTTTGCTTCCCTGCAAAAGCATGTTTATGCCAAACCATATCGACATAATCTTATACTTGAATTTAATAAATAGGCAACGCGGTGCTCCCGTAGTATGTGCACCAAGATGGCGCACATATTACGGGAGCGCTGGCAACGCAGATAGTGGTGCTATCCTTTTTACATCTTAATAAATTTTCCTCCAGAAAATTTGAAAATTGGCTATTTTTTGAGTGCCACGAACTAAATTTTGTTAGACTAGGTCCAGTTTTTATATCTATCAAATTAGCTTTCCAAGTGGCCAAATACCAGGGTTGGAAATTATTTCCTACTATCTTGCATAAGAAATATGTTAATAATATTTTAGAATGAATATAAAAAAGAATCCCAGGTTACTGTATTTTGCAAATTTAGAATGTACACAAAAGACTTTTCCTACAAGAGAGAAACTACAGATTCCAGTGTGCAAGTGTAGCCTATGTTATGCTACACTGTCAAGACAAACGCCTGGCTTTGCAGCCAAAAATTTAGTACAAACCATCACATAACAATGATTATTTAGTGACTTGAAATGTGATGTAAACGGGCTAGGATTTACAAATTTATTCAGAGGAAGAAGGAAAGCCGATAAGATGACTTAATCATAGGGCAAATCACGACCTATCCTCCTGTTACCAGTCCTTGCCGGGTATGGGATTAGTTAATCAGAAATTTGTTTTCGGAAGCATGGACTTGATAATATAACCCTGCTCAGCGATGAGTCTCTCTTACTTCTGAGTGAGTGCGTGTGACTATGTTTCAGCGAATTCTCTTAAAACCAAAATATATCTGCTCTCATTTGAAAGATTAATGCTTCATTTTGGACTCTCCTATATATGGTACTCATTATAGAAACGAGACACTATGTAAAAATTTGGACATCCATATACAGTAATCAAAAGGATTTGGTGAATCCGGTATATATTAAGATGCTTTAACATCATATTAAATTTCATTACATTTTGCAGAATTTTTTAAAAGCGTAAACTTTCATCCAAATTATGCCTTGAAATAATGAAAAATTGAATGGGGCAATTTAGCAAAAAATTATTAGGTATTACTTAAATTTTATAGTGATTCAGTGAGTTTTTACTGATCTTACCGGATGATTCATATCTGGGTGATCTTCGTGTTTTTTCCTCATTTCTTGATATTCTCGTTCAGCTTTCTTTCTGTCTTCCTCCGACATTTGACGAAGTTTTTCTTGTCGCCTTAATGCTTTATTCATTTCATATCTTTTAAAGTCTTTATGACGTTCTTCATCGAAATTTTCCAGATCTTTGGTAGCCTATGGAAACAATTGAAATTTGCACTTAAAAAAAAAAGTTTGAATTGTACAGATGACAGTACAGGGCTGTTCTTACTTCTTATATTATTGTCTAGAATATTATAACAACATTTCCCTACTTGGAGTTGAAGAACTCGCATATCAGATATGGTCCTGGATATAAAAATATTGCAACACACATTTAAACTAAAGTTAATAATAGTTTGTTGCTTTGTTCACTTTACTAATAGATAGTTCCATACAGTGTTGTGGTACACAATCCAGATTCAGAACTGTACATGAATTTTTTTTAATGATATTGAAGTCAAGAGTTTTTGTGGCTCTGAATTTTCCCAAACTCCCGAGCGTTTGGTGCATGCTTTTTTGATGAAATAAAATAATAAATCGGACATCACTTTTGTTTTTTCCTCCCAACTACAAAATAACCCAGAAAAATAAAGAAAACAATAAACTGGTTACTGGACATACATATGGGAGTCCAAATTATCTAACCTGAATATTCACTATTGCATATGTTGTAGGTATTCCCTAATATACACCAATGGTATTGATTTCCTTTATTGACAGTTTTTATTAGCATTTTAAAAATACATAACATTTTTTGATATAACAGACTGTGCATGTGCAGTAATCAGAATAATACCAATATATATCATCACCTCAAAACCAAACAGTGCTAAGTCCACTTCTCCAAAAAATGACATTTTTCAATTGCTGATTTTCCTGGACTTAGCTCTACATTTTGGACTATTTGCCTTATCTCTAGGTGCTCTAGATCTCAAGACAGCTATGGACATAACCCTGCTTTTTTTAGGGCATTTGAGAACTAAACAGAGCTGTGTCTACTATAGTGGACTTAGCTCTGGATAACTGCATAGTAAGTTGGGGCTAAGTCCGTTTTTTGGACATAGCTTCTCTCAAAAAATATAATACAAAGCCCTAAGTCCATACCAGCCTCTATAATAACATAATAAAGGGGCCCTAAGTCCAATAAAATTGTTTCTGGTCCAGATTCTGGACCAAAATTGAGAACCAAAAAGGGTTAAGTCCAACCCCCCCCCCAAAAGAAAAAAATTGGGGCGGAGCACAAATTTTTTTATACCATCAATATATGGCCTTCATTGTAACTTGGTGGACCATGAAAACTAGACATCCTCGATGTAAGGTATTAGAGAAATCAAAAAAGAAACAAAAAAAAAACGTTTTTTGCGTTTTTCTCAAAACTAGAAAAATGGACTTAGCCCAATTTGGATTTCATGCGTCGATATTTTGAATTGAGAAAGGAGTTCCAAAGGTTCCAAGCACTAAATAGCATTTGAAGTTCACTTTCCTAATCAATCCCTCTTTATAACTTATCCGATCAATGTATATATTGATCATTATGAATCATTCCCAACTACATGCTTATATGACATCATTAAAATTATTAATAGATGATAAAAGTCTACGATACTACAATGATGACGTGTTGAAAATAAGGAATCCTATGAAAATGACGCTGAATAATAGCGGATGTATTAATAGGTAAAACAACAGGTGATATTATTACAACAGACAATATGCAAACTTTACTCAATCAATAACAGCCACAAAGCCACGTTATATTCGAGTATAGAGAAATGTCCCGAATATTTAGTTTAAAAATTTAGTTTATCATGCTCGAATATTTGAAATTAACTTACAAAATTGTTAACTATTTTAATATGTAAACCCCTATTATAATGTCGAGGAAAAATTACGACTAAACTATACAGACTAAAAAAGTGAGATTTTTTTGAGAGAATTCAATCAAAGCAAGGTGACACACGAACTCATTTCTGAGCATAGTCACAGACTACCACTGAAATGCCATCGACTACTAAAACTATGTATAGATAATTATTAAAAAAAGTAAAACCATACCGATTTTATCAAATTTGTTAAATCTTGCGCTTCAAAACTATGAGGGTTTGCTCCATCTAAATGGTTTGCAATTTGTTTAAGGTAGGCACTGTTGCTCACTTTTCTACCTGTAAAATTAAGGAGAATTATACATTATTAATAAAACGGAAATGAATTCAAATTGCGTATAATTACGATAATAAGCCTGGGGCATTGAAGACTGAAATTATTTTCAATTTAATGAAGTATTTTCCATAATTAGCATCGAAAAACAAAATTTTGGTAAATATTTTAAAGCAGCAAAAAAGTAAATAGAGAAAGTTACTAATAAATGTTGATACAATAACACTGAAGCCAAAATTTTGTTTATTTATAAGCTGAATGTAGAATTCTGGATGCAAATATAACATGATTAGAGATGTAATGACATAAGCATAACGTTAAGAAATAATGAGAACAAAAATTAAAAAAAATTTTAAATTTTGATGGCACTATTTAAAATTACCCGTTTAATATGGTATTTGCTTCATACTTTATTTTTATAGAGTAAAATTTTAATAACGTGTATTTTGAATTGTTCGGAAGCATGCAAAATATGAAGTACCGGTATATCATTCTTCACAAAATCAGATAAAATTGTCTTACAACAGAAGCCATTTTCACAATATCAACTTTACCTTTTTCAACTTCCATTTTAGCATGAAGAATCTTTCGTAACCTTGTGATTTCTTCTTTTTTAGCCATATCCAATTTATCACGAATCTCTCGTGGAATTTTGTAAATTTCTGTGCTTAATTTACCATCCTACAAAGCATAAATGAGAGAATTTTAGTAAAATTGACTCTCACTTAATCAGGCATGAATGATATACAATTCTAGCTTAAATAGGTTAATTTTTTAGTAGTTCATATATGATCAAGCTTAATATATTATTACCTTGATATCATCGAAGTTTGCAGTCTCCATTGTTTTGCGGAAACTTTCATCGCTCTCGAGAAGTTTTACAATTTTTTGGAGATATTGATCGTAATACAGTCCAGTGCTCTGTAAATTATAAAACACCATATTAAGAGAGATATGACATTAATTAGTGAAATGTAAAAAAACAAGGCTTCATCCACCATCAACAAGTCTATTCATCTGAAACAAATACCTAGCAACTAATCCCATGTCCGACATGAACTGGCAATCGTATGGGAGGCTGTGGTTCGCCTTATGATTAAGCCGTCTTTGTAAATCCTAAGTACTTGAATGGCATACAAAACATTTCTCTGCATCGCAAATGTGATTAGATTACAAATTTATTAATAATAACCATTAGAAATAGAATCTATTTCAAAATATCTCTTACTAAATTTAGGACCATATGGTGATAAACAAATACAGGAAGTCTGTCACACTTATAAATAGTCTACACATACTAAGACAGTTTCTCTGAGCCAATAGGGGTTTATTTATGAGCCTACTGCTGAATAGAGATTCATTTTAAAATAACAGCCTTTTTAATAAATATATTATAAGGCTCATTAACCAAGGTTGTGAATAATTATTAGTAATATAAAAAATATAAATACTGATCATTAGCAAATATGGTCAAACAAATTTCCAAAGTGTATGGTATATGACAGAGGCTCCAGAACTTTTTACACTGATGATGTATTAACTTCGATAATAAATAAATCATTATTATGCATTCAAAAATACTTTACTTTATTAAAATGAAATTACTATAATATATGTACGATACATTTAATCAATGCGATATTTGAGATAGTTTTGTGCACATAAACAACTTTAATGAACTAAATGTCCTATTTATCCTTCTCTCTTAACATTATTTTTAACATATTTGTTAATAAGTTCTAAACACAGGCATATAGATAAGATTATTTTGGATTTCGCAACATGTGCGGAATTATCGCATTGAACACGAGGTTCAATAAATAATAAAAATGTCACAGATAGTAAATCAATAAATTATAAGCTGAATAAATATACCAATGATTGCCAAAGGGTTCTCATATGTTTGAATAAGAAATGCAAATGTCAATTTATTGAAAGTGACTTCAAGTATTATGCAAGTAAATTATTGTTGAAAATACAATGATGGGCGTTAGCATGTAACTCACTTCGAATAACTCTAGTAAATAATACAGAGATTTCATAACCATTCAATAATATGATATTTCAGAGAAATATATCAGAACATTTGAAATTGAATTCTTTGTGATGAATTTAGCATAAACAAGTGGTTCAAAACTTGGTATCTGATACAGCTAAAGATGTCAAAAAAACATTTAAACCACCTATTACCATCTGTTGCCTAAAAATATGTGTGAGGCACCATTAAAAAACTGAGTGTATTTGCTCATGAAATTCAAAAAAGATCACCAAAATTAGAATAAATAAAACATTATATATTTTTTGGACTGAAAATTTTCAGCATTAACAAAAATGTGTACCAGTGTTTGAGAGAAGTCAATAAACCAGGTCATCAAGCTGAGTAATGATTCGTGCAAGTCTCGAGTTAAATCACCAGTTGAATACCTCACTTGCCGTCATTTGAATATGAATTCATATCATTTCATTTAGGTGATTCGAGTCACTTTTAATTCCCAGGAAAGTGGTGACTTGAGTTTTTAACTCAAGTCGAGAAAATGACTCATGCCTCCCCAACACTGCCAAATACAGATGCAATATAATGTTTCAAAGTCAAATAAAAAAAATTTAATTACCGGTGATGCTTCTTTGTCTTCCACGATTTCTTGTGGGCCTTCATTTTTCTCGGGTGGAGGTGGAGGAGTCTTCTTAGTGGGAGCAGGTGCGGAATTTACAAGCACAATTATTGCACATGTATATAGAAAAATACTTAATATATTGCGCATGATTCTTCCAATATTTACAGATACAAAGTTTATATACAGATTCAATTTGAATATCAAAATATGGAAACACCAGAATATTAATTTATGAATCTGGTAAAATGAAGGATATTTAGTTAAAAAGTTTTTTTTTATATAATAGCTGTATCGTATATAATCACTGAACCAGGTACAGCAATCCATAATTGCAGAATTGTCACGGAGAGACATTTCACACTTGTCATCAATTTTACCATACAGCCATATAAAAATCTTGAAGGCTTGCTATTGTTAGCTAGAAAATTGGTAGCAGTAACACTGACTGACTCATGTATTCACAATACAGCAATAACTCACTTTCAATCAAATATTTTTCAAGCAAGGGAATCAAAAAAGTTGAATGAATAAAATGACTACGAAACATCAACCAAATTTATGACAAATGATGTCTGATAACAGATGGTAAGCTAGAAGTTTTTTGAAGTATTACAGTATTAAATAGACTATTACAGTATTAAACACATTACTTAGTTGCTATCCTACATACATATCTAGTGTAAATTACTGTTCAACTATAAATTGACATTGTATGTACTCTAGGTCTGTAGGTGTACTTCTACATTCACTGTCACAAAGCGTCACTTCTGCACAGGTCACCGCTTGGTACGCCCCCTCAGGGAAAATACAAGGATAGACACGTTGCAAAACATTTGTTTCTTTCCTCGGATATGATTGACATATGCATTGGTGCGTGACAACGACGATTTGGAATTTCGATTATTCGGGCGGGGGTCGGCAACCTACGGCCCCCCTGACCATATTATATCAACCTGTATTCATTTTTTGTGATTTTGGCGCAAATGAACGAGCACACAATAACATCCCAATGGTGTCGTGGGGAATCGGAAAGAGAGAACGCAAGAGATTTGGTGGAGATTTCGGGACTGAATAAAAAATATGCAGATCGGGAATTAATAAAATCAATAAATTTAAAAAAAAAAATACCGTACATACCTGGAAAAGCACGTTCAGTCTCAAATAATGAAGTTAGAGTATTTTTGAATGCTTCATAGTAGGCTACATTTTCCCAACTGAGTCTTTTGTGGTTTCGTAAATGAACTCAATTCTATATTTAGAATATATTCTCCGCACCAACTGCTTGTATAATGTTTTGTCCTGGGAAGTTAGACTAGGACTAAATCAATAAATTTAAAAAAAAAATACCGTACATACCTGGAAAAGCACGTTCAGTCTCAAATGATGAAGTTAGAGTATTTTTGAATGCTTCATAGTAGGCTACATTTTCCCAACTGAGTCTTTTGTGGTTTCGTAAATGAATTCAATTCTATATTTAGAATATATTCTCCGCACCAACTGCTTGTATAATGTTTTGTCCTGGGAAGTTAGACTAGGACTAAATCAATAAATTTAAAAAAAAATACCGTACATACATGGAAAAGCACGTTCAGTCTCAAATGATGAAGTTAGAGTATTTTTGAATGCTTCATAGTAGGCTACATTTTCCCAACTGAGTCTTTTGTGGTTTCGTAAATGAATTCAATTCTATATTTAGAATATATTCTCCGCACCAACTGCTTGTATAATAATTCAAAACCGCAGGGAACGAAAGTAAAGTAAAAAAAAAACACATGCAAATGGAAATTTAATTCACCAGCCGTTACGATATTTAATATGATTAAACTTCCAAATTACGTTATTTAACAGATTAAAAACAAATATTGGAATTTGAAAATTCTGCGTAAAGAAAACAAATAATATGGGCCTTTTTCCGACCTTTGACCGCTGAAAAATTCTTTCTATACTTAACCTTTGCAATATTTTCGAGGCTTATTTCAGGTGTGGTTTCGCGAGTTGGCGGCTGTAAAAAGAGGGATTTGTTTCAAACCATCATTATGATTCATCGCATACAACAATCTGTTTTTTAAAAGCATCAGTAACGAATTTCAGCCTAGTCTATCACATCTATTTCTACACTATTTTTTTTATTACTGCAGTTAAATTAAAACTCCCATGAAGACGAAGTGACCATTGAATTATCTGATTTATATTTAAATTTCCGAAACACAACTGAAAATTAACGAATAGAGTTTAAAAACGCGAAAACGAGGTAATGTTTACGAACACGCCTGAAAATCTGTCTGAGTGAAAAAAGTGTCTGAGCGGATGCGTAAATGGAGCTTTGTTACGTCACTTTTTGCATCTTGCTGATTGGCCCTTGGCCACGTAGTAAATAAGGAAGTCAATGTTCGGGGAAAGGTTCATCATAATCACAATCGTTTATGTTAAAGTATGAATCAAAAATAAATTTGCAGCCTTTTTGAAGAGCATAAAGTGGCAACCATAGAGCTGACAAAATCAGGATATGTCTCTAAAGTTTTTACGCTTACTATTAAGTACAGTAATATTGCATTGGTATTTCGTAAGCGTTTTTGTTATTTTTTGTATACATATCTGTAGCCCTTTCAAAACAACTATTTTTTAAACTGTGCGGGCAGTTTTTATCAGAGAGGGATAAAAATAAATTTTAGAGTAATCTTACCAAGCATTTTCGATGACTGCAGCAAAACTAACACTTCTTAAAAACATAATGATAACCATATTATTTGATTCATACATAAATTATTAGATTATATATAACTAAAAATACAAATAAAAGGTGAACATCGCTCAAACAAAGCTGAACTTCCCTTAAACAAAAAAGTTACCAAAACAAATTTCAGAATCGGATTTTATCATTCTCACTCCGTGCAGCGCTGCTTCGTAACTTCGAATACTTCAGCGGGAAGTCAGCTGTGCATTTATAGTTTTCTAGTAGATTACTCTGACTAACTATTTATTTGTGTGTTACATGACTTTTTTATAACGAATACTGAAAGTAATATTTGTTGATAATAGATTGCAAGTAAATTCCGATCGTGAAGAGCTGCGGATTGCATGGCAACACATGCTAACGTTACATGTTTTATATATTGACGGATTGAACTCCGAAACTCGAGGTATGCTTTCTTCTGGGCTAAAAGGTAATACGGAACTAACAAAGTAACAACTAGGCTACAGCTATAACTTACAAGCAATGTTGGCTATCTCTTAATATAATTTGGTCAATTGCCGTCTTGATTGGGCTGTCGTCGTTCAGGATGCCCTACTGCAAATTCAGAGGCGCTAAATAAAGTTATTTCGAGGAAGGTGCGGTTCGTTTTCGCTCCTGCTGTTATTATTTCAATTTCTGATTTGCTATCACTTTTAATTTGAATAAAAGCTATTATTTTTGTATGAGCAAGACGCGCGGACCACTACGTGATTTTTGCGGTATAGGTCTACATAAGTACTACAAACTGAGAGGCTGAATAATCCTTCTAGACATATTTATTTTTGACAGAGGAATAATAAAAAGTTTAAAACATATTAAAAATACATTAAAATGAAACGAAAAAAAAACAAGCGTGTTTTACAAGATAAAAAATCAAATCCCGCACGATTTGTTGAGGCTAGTTCTACAGTTCGAATACTGCATTTCTGCCTGGAGCAACATAAGCCACCACTTCACCCGAGATATAGTAAATTAAGTAGACTATACTAATCCATCAACAGTTGGTCTATCGGGATGCAACATCACATGCGATTTTGCGCGCCTAGATATCGGACACACAAATTGAAAATGGGTACACCTTTGTAAAATTTAGAATAATAATGTTTCCCATTTTGGGGGATTAGGTATTTTTCTTCCTGAATAACGCCAGATTTCGGCAAAATCGATAATTTTATAGAGGTTGTTCTAGACATCGGAATATTGGCTTCAACCATTTTCAATTCAAGGGTGCCGGTACATAATTAGAATTAGGAAAACAAGTCTTCATTTTCTAAGGAATGGGAGTCAGAACGGCGCAACCTTCTCTTCGTGATCGTAAAAATCTTGCTTCTCCTTCCGCGCAACACATGAAAAATCTTTTATTGTATGGTTTGTCATCACAGCAAAGTCGATCACCCTCTGTAATAAAGTGTTGAATTTATAAAAAACATGGCAACTTCGATCGTATGGAAATTTTTTGTAAATTTACTCATGACTTTACTTTAATTTTTGTGAAAACTTAAATAGATGTCCGGACCAAGTGTGCTCGAGACAAATACCTCAGTGAATGATGCATACGATATGGATTACAATATGTCATTTTTTGATGTGTGTATCATGGGAAAATTGGTTGCTACAATATCGTGAGATCTACCTGCTTGTTATTTTTATAATAAGGTGTCTCCGTTAAATAAACTTACCTTTTTCCAATAAAGCATTTCCGCAACATTCTCGTTCTGCTGTGTTGTAAGGTCTTAAATTACAGCACGCATTTGGTGCAATACTGTCAGGTTTGGGATTCGGATTTGTCGATACCACTGAAAAAGGTTTTACAAAGATTAGGTTTCTGTTCAATATATTCAATCGTTGAATATAAAAAATATTTAATTTTTTTTTACATGAAGCACATAGCAATGGCCTCTTTCCATTTGTTGGAGTGTCGTTTTTTCTTCTTTCAGATTTTGCGTCATCCTCTTCTACATCACCTGGTGCGGTCTCTGGAGTTACAACGAGTTCAGGACCTTCGACGTTCAGACTTACGCATCTTGCGTGAACACTATATCTACCATCTGTCGGAACATCGGAATACTCAACGGTCTGTAACAAAAATATCTCATATCTTAAAGCAGAGCTTTTCAATTTTTATTTTTTCGTTTACTCCTTTGCAAAAATAGTTTAACCCTCGTAAAACATTTATTTTCGTTACAATCTGTGACACTAGGCTTGTCAGCATCCCTAAATGCCACAGTAGGCGTCAGAACCGTATTTGGGCATCTGCTGAAATGAAACCGATAGCTTATTCGTGAAGTAAGGAGAGATGGATTTTCTTGCCTGCAAAATGTACCACCAAGCCAAGTAAAATTTAACACAAAGGTGTAAATATACCCTGTTTGGGTGATTGTAATATCTAAAATAGGTAAGTGGATTTTTTTGATAAGGAATACGGAGTTTAAACAGCTTGGAATGTTGTATTGTTAAATCCAACATCGGCCCCTTTCGGAGGGACATTGGAATCAAAACTTTATTTGTAATTGAAGTGACGGTGATCGAACTAAAAACGCGCTTCAAGACATATATGAATACAAACATAAAAAAAAAATTGAGAAATTTCAATTTACGTTTGTTCCACACATCTTTCTAAAAGAAAATCTACACACTTTTACCTTCTTAATGAATCATTCAAAGTATTTTCTTGAATATTTCATAGTTGATATATTTAGAACCTACCTCTCCTAGCTTGTAATATTTCGGTGTGACTTTCTCTCCATTGACAGAGGGACTGTAGAATACTTTTACTTGTGGACAACCTCCTTCAATAGGTGGGCCGAACGCTACCTTTATTCCAGTATCTCTTCCAGTAATTAGCTTCATTAGTGTTGGTTCCAATGGGACTGAAAATTGAAATATTTTTACACCCTAAATTTGGATTCTATTTACTTTATGTGATCAATAATTTAAACCGACCTATACTAAGAGAAGTTACGTTATGCACATAGGATTATTTATCACATTGAATGAAAACTGAGGCGAAATACAGAAAAATATTTACCACGATAACTAAATCCGTACACGCGATAAAATTTGATAGAATTTGTTATGACTTATATTGGAGAATTAACTGGGCATTATACAAGGCATTGCTGATTCGTAAACTAATCGTTTATAAATTGTTGTCAAATTGAATAAGTTTTTCTCACTTGTAGTTTGTTCAACTTCTGCTGGAACTGCTCCTTTCACTCCGTTTAGTACTGTGAAGACGCGGAAATTATATATCGTTCCCGGTATCAGTTTTTGTATTTGGACAACTACTTGACTGTCAAACTTGAAGTTTTTAACTGAAGCAAATTGTGTTTTGCCGTCCTGTATTTAAAAGTATTAGAAAATATGTTTAAAAAGTCAGTCTTCTAATAGCCTACGTGAATAATATTTTTGATTTTCTCACCGGTGTAGAGGAAAACTCGATCATATATTGCACTTCGTCAAAATCTGTAAATTTGTGGGCGTGGGCCCATTGAAGTGTGACGGAATAGTGATCATAATCAGTGACTCGAATTCGCAGCGGTGGAGCAGGTGCTAGAAATGAATGAAATTTATTAGGAAATTCGTGGAAGACTAAACGCAGAGCTAGCCTACGTTAAGGAAATAAAATATGGCGAATACTTCATAAATAAGTCCCTCAAGCGAAATTCACGATTCGGTAATTTCACGCGTAGCGTGGTTGTGGTGAATTTATCGTGATGTACAATCTCAGGTATTTTTTTTTACATATACAATCGAGAAGTAGGAATTAGATAAAACCAACGAACTCAGGACACGCTATTGTCTTTATTTCATAACAACTGATATCACGACGAAGAAACCTCACTGAAGGTGAATTTTTAATTAATGTGATGTACCCTCGGGCACATAAATAGTTTTGTCTGTGATAACCACTAAACGCGGTGCAATTTCCAAGGACATTTCCATAAAACTAAAACCAGCACTCCTTCCAATGTACATTATTCAAACTAGGCTGTTGCAATATACTCTGCCCCTGGTCGCACCATAAGGAGATAATAACGTATAGCTAGCTAATTGGCAATATTTATGATTGTGAAAAATACATTGTGAATTGTGTTTGAAACGTCGTAGTAGTAAAATAGATAGGGCTTCCACGAATCCGCCTAAGCTATTGATATACCCAAAGATATTGAAATTATTTTTTACAACTGACAAATATTACATTTTTTTACCTCATTCAATTATTTATACCTTAATAGCTTTTTACCAATACCTAATATTTTAAATTACTTATATATATATTACCGTATATATATTTAACTTCGTAAATTTGAATTTTATACGCGACATACGCTGATTTTTCAAAACGTATGCCAGTTGATAAAACTGTTCGATTGCTCTCAAATAGTTTTTTGTTTTTGACTAATAGAGCATCATCCAAAGTGTTCAAAATTTTACACATTTCAGTTTTTTTATTCATTGATAGATTTATTGGCGCGCGATCCTAGGCTAGTGTGTAAAACGGCTGTTGGTAATACTCTCTTATCAATTATCTTAATACTCTGTGTTTGTACCTGTACTAAATGTTAACGTCTTCGGTGCGTATCCTTTTACATTTTTACTGACGGCAAACATTTTCAAATTATAAGTTGTTCCTGGTCTAAGTCCTTGCCATTGATAGAGATCGAACATCGGGTAGTTTGGATCTTGCGTGGCATCACCGATGGTGCCATGCCTTGGTGCCATCTCGAACGTACTGAATAGAAATATACTGTATGACAGTAGATCGTAAATATCCCAACGAGAGGATTTAAAATTTAACGGAATAAAACTGGCTTTGTCTACGTGTACTTAGTCATCATCATCTAATCTAAACTGAAAATGCCTAAAACGTAAATACTCTTAAAATCGTGATAAAAATTTCGTATTTATCCAATAAATAGTATTGGAAATTTTAGTATAGTTTATAGTTTTTATTTACGATATGATGTTCTAATTCTATATGATAAACTCGTCATAATTCTTAAGGTTAACTGGAGGTCAAATCAACAGTTGGTATTCAAATTATGACGTCATTTTGTCGTATTTATACACCGAACCTTATCCAATATGTGGGGTCAAATCTCAAAGGTCGTTAGTAAATTTAGGATTATTATGTCTGAGGAAACTGGGATGAAAGGAATGTATACTTACAGATCGTCATGGATTCCTTCCAGTGGGCCGTGGGTTTTTAGGAGAACTGACGTTGGCTCAGTTTCGACGGCTTCGAGTGCATATGGTATCGCAGGGGCTGAAAATAAAGTTCAGTTTTAACGCAATCAATATGCTAAAGAGCTAGAAATTCAACCTAATATAGTTGAGTTCGTTGGGGCCTCTGGTGCTTCATGTAACATTGCGTCAACGGTACGTCTGCAAGATTTTCTTACTATATATCTTATTATATATATAAAAAAAAAAAAAACTGATAACAGGAATTATTTTTGGAACAAAATTAATAGCACATACACTGTTATGTACATATTAAGCTTCGGCAGTATAATATCAATGGTATCGAATTCAATTCAAAGCTTTGCATCATATATTTAACATCGTTCAAAGTAATTTCACTTACAACTAAAAAGTTGCCAAACGCTTCCGTAATGACCAAATTAAGTCACTCTTGTAATTGCCTATCAAAATTTTTATGAGAATTGTAATTACAACGCTCAACTTCGTAAAGTATGACAAAATCCTTCCATTTTCAATCACTTTAGATAAATCTTTTCTGAGTAATCAATTTGTAGGGCTTTATAAAATTCTTTCTTAAATTGGCCAAAGCTATTTTCTGTTTAAAATGGCACAGGTCTGGATTATAGTTTGAACTCTTGCGTCAAATACCTTAATTAACCGGGTAATGATCGTTCTTAATTCTGGTATGTAATTACGGCTTTAATTTGAAAATTAACTGCCTTAAATGGCCTTTTTGAAACGTTCTGTGGTCGCATTTTTGCAAAATTGACCAATATATTCTAATTTCCTCAAGTCCTTGAAGTACCCATGACGTCATTTTATTTAAATAAGCTAATACACCTGAGTGTTTTAGTAGAACAGGTGTTACCATATTGTACCAGTAACGTTATTTGAATCTTCCAAGTGAGTATGCATTTAAAATCAACATAGGTTTAGTATATACAATCAGTGAATGAATAGTTTTCTCAATGTGACTGGATGGTGGAATATATATATATAGCAGTAACCATACCATTAATTAATTAAAACATCATTGAATGAGTGTAATTAATTGAATTTATTTCACAATAAGACTTTGTCTTGAATGTTATTTGCGATTAAACTGAGACAAAATTAACGAAAAAAAGAATACTTTAAACGAACTAATTAGCAATTGTTTTCTACAATGTTAAAACGTAATCGAAATTCGTATCAAAATATTGGGATTTGCGAAAATATAATCTTGTGTGACATTTAAACAAATGATTGAGATGCCCTTTCGCGAAAGTTTTTTTTCAAAAATCGCTAAACCATCTGATGACAGTTCTTACAATGAAAATGACTTTTGGTTTAAGGTTTTATTTGAAAAACATTTTTAATCGATTTATTTATATCGCGCATCCAGAAGTGATTAGCTTGAATAACGGAAAGAAATTTCACGTTTTCGCCGCGAAAATTATTTTTGCGTGGGCATATGCTTCACCACCTCGGAGTCGATTTTTTAAAATAAGACATGCAGAGGTAATATATATGAATGAACCAGAATCACACGGCTTATGAATACCCTGAACTACTAAATTTACATATCTTCAAAGATTTACCAGTATGAAACTTTTTGTGTCTGTAACTGCGTAGGCACTTATAATTATTCGTTATCATAACCAATGTAATATTGGTTACTGATACCATATGATATATTTAATGACAGGTTTTGGCTCTTGTGACGTTGTCGCAACTACTTAGGTCAACTAATATTATACACCGCATTTAAAGTTGTTTCAAGTTTCATTCAGATAACATTGCTCTGAGCAAATTTTATCAAATTTGAAATGACCTTTGACCATCAACACGGTCGCAGTTTCGTAAACACGGAAGGAGGAAATTAGCACATTTTGTCAAAATTATTCAGGGCGATTCATGGTAGATGTAAATACTATATATAATTTGATTGCGTATAGCTTGATAACCGATACCAATGCTGAAATAAATATAAGTATAGGCAGAGTAACACTGCACGTCTATACAATAGCGAACAATGCAACAAGATATGACTCACACTCACTCACATACACACAGAGAGAAAAAGTAACTAACGCATTCTCATTATGCTTCGAACTCACACACACTCACTCACATACACACAGAAAAAAAGAAGTAACTCACGCATTCTCATTTTGCTTCGAACCCACTGACTGTAAACAGGATCGTAGTCTGGTCCAACTCTGGTTCTCAAAGCAACAGAATACTCTTTTCCTATAAATATAATAAACCATGGATTAACTTTCGAAATAGTTACACGTCGTGAAAAAATAGTTGGTGAATTGAAGCACTTTTTTATAGTACTGGACCGGTATCTACATAGCGAGAATTTTTGATGCTTTCCATCAAACCTAACTCAAAATACTGAATTCAAGTTTGATTTTCTCAAATCAAATTTCAATTCATTATAGAAAACGTTTATCTACAGGGTGACCAAAAAACACAAAATCCTTATATTTCTTAATTGCTTATACGAAATTTTTTTTTCATTTAAACTTCTGTTTGTGTATAATTGTTCCCAAATGTTTTAGTAATCTACGAGACGACGCTTTGTACAAGGATATGTTCTCTTTAGAATATGTTCCAAACGATCGGGGTTCTGTTTTGGGGTCAATCTGTAGATATTCCAGCGGAATTATCATTTTACCTGGAGTTAGTCCTGTTACAATTCGGGTCATTTTATCAGCGGCCTCTTCATCGTCTGATTCCACAATTACTCCTTCATCAGGTTCAATTTGTAGATCGTATCCAGAAACCACTAGAACGAAAATAGATTCAAATGAAAGCCGTAATTTTATCATCATTATGTTATCATGTAACTTGATATTTGTAACTTTTATGTGGGCTCGAACAGATTAACCGCATTTTTCGATTTTGACGTAATAATAGGTTCGCAATGTCCAATGAGAATTCGAAGATTTCACCATAATCAAATGTTTGTTAAATGGCGTATAAAGGATAACAGTGTATTGTAATGTAATGTAAAATTAACTAGGTTGTAAGTAATCGAAAATCCGAAGTTTCTAACCACAGTCTATATAAGTAGCGGCTTTGTTAGCCAAAGAACTTTGTTGCAGGCTATACTGTAAATGAGTTTGTTATATTTGGAAATGACTACGCAAAAAATATGAAATTATATTTTTCTTGTAATTATTTCAAATTTGTACTCCATGAAATATGTTTTATGAAAATTTTGTTATGAAGTCAGTTCTATATAGATTTTAACGATTTATTTTTTTCATTGTAAAATTTAGGTTTTTATACTTATTCGATACATCTTCAGATGCCCGCAATTAGCATAAGGCACACGTCAATATTCTTTTACATATTTTATTACATGACTTTATGAACACCCAATTTTAATCCTAGACTAGTCTACATGGCATAACTAACACGTCAGTTTGGAATGTGCTTTTGTGTAATATTTTTTAAAAATAGAAAATGCTTAGCATGTGAAAAATAGATCTTCTAAACCGGTCTATCGAAAATTTACTCTTTTAACACAAAAAGATGCATTTTTTGCCTGAGGGTCCGTTGTACAACGAACACGATGGAACGACATAACTGTCGCTTTACACTAGTGATTTACAATGTTTGTTTGTAACGTGCAAATTCTTTCGCTTGAAACATATAATTATCATTTTTTATTTAAAAAAAAAGTGAGTTTATTGGCAAAATACTTCACACGGCATAAAATAGTTTCATGTTGAAACAATTAATTCTGGAATTTGTCATGAACAAATTGTAATTTAAGAAAAGTGTTCACCAAATAAAATTCATAACGACACGTTATTCGTTAGAATAAAATTTAGGGACCAGATGTAGACGGATAGATAGAAAAAATTTAGGTCAATTAAATACTTTTGTTTAAACGACATTATTTATGCAGGTTTTCAAAGCAATACACAATTGAACATTTTACTGGTATATATATTGAATTAGGATTGGTATTCATTTAAAAAAATTACAAAAGTTAAATTTGCATTAGACCAAATTTGAAACACGTTCATATTTTAAATTGCATATAAACACCAACTCAATGCCATTCGCAACAAAATATTTGACAATTGTATTGTCGGAAATGCATTTTAACAATGGTTTTCTTTATATGTTCGCTTACGTACTTTTTTCTTGAGAATCATCATTCCATTCGACTTGCATACCGTCTACAAATGCGGTAAACTTGGTCTGTATACCCATTATGGATATCGAGATGGCGATCTCCTGAACTGCAGATAACTCCATCCCCGTGGGCTCGTCTGGTACTGTAATTGAAGAATTTTATCGTAAAAAAATAGTTCACAAAAGGAGAAACTTGTATAAAAATCTTTGATGCTGAAGACACAATCTGTTACGATGACTTTTTATATCTATACTAAGACGGGGCTCGGAAGTTTGATATATTTCACTGGAGCAGGAGTCCTATTTTTAAACTGCCTGGGGACGGAGGCAAAATTTCGAATATATATACCACATTCGGAAATTAACACTCATAATTAAATGCATATAATACCCAATTTTCTATTGAAACTTAAACAGCATTAAGTTTGAAAAGCGTTTTTACAAGGCTATGAAAGAAAACTTGCACAGGGTGAAAAATTTTGGTAACAATGCTTGACTTTTTTGAGTTCGGAGCTGGCTCTTTTATAATCAGTAGTCGGTGGTAATTGGTATCAAAATTGTTCCAAATTTCATCGGTTTTATTGTAAATTTTCTCTGATTCTCAACAGGTGTGATCTGAGCCAATGGGAAAAATAAATCTCCCATTCATTGCATATATATTTGCAACTTTTGCATGAAAACTTTATGAGGTTACAGAATATTTTAAACGTGTCTGAGCTTACTGAATTACTTCGTTGTCATGTTGCGAATCTGTGGATTGTGTTAGCACTTCGGGGCAGATTAAGAAATTTAAGATCATTAATACTTTATTATAAACATGTTGACTCCTTTCTTTGAAACGTGTCGCGGGCGTTTTGTGAAAGACTAATCCGATCTATCCAACTTTTCTCATGTTTTTTCATAAGAAAAATTAGAAAATATTTTTAGGAGATATTTTTAAAAAAATCAAGTATCAGACATGTGGTGAGGATATCCTGTTTAGAGAAAAACTTGATAGTTAGCGCAAATATGGCGAATGAAGACGTTTTAAAATAGAAAATGAACAACAGAATTTTCGTAATTGATAAACATTAGGCATATTATCATCAAATTTTGAGATCTTGAACCCTTTATTGAATATAAATGTTGAGCTTAGGGAGGATATTCATTTTGCTTCATACTTTCATAGTGAAAAGTTACATCTATTGCTATTATTATAGAATGTGAGAATACTATATTTAGGAACAATCACATTCCCATTACAGACGCGTCTGTAATCTCCACACATACTTTTTTAACAATGAAAAATCAAAAGTAGTTGAACGAATTTAATTGAATATTCCGAAGACTTCGTTTATTGTATGTAAGGAATTCATTGCAGCACAATTTCCTTGTATTGTATTTTAATTATCATCTGATTACTGCAACTCGAAAAAAAAGCAAAAGCAGGAATAATAATTTTACAACAAAGTCATAAGCAGCCTTTTGTGTAGTCTAGATTTTGGATTGAAATTAATCTACTAACTCCAAAGTTGAAATAATTATATCCTTAAAATAACATTTTGACAGTGTATAGCTCTCTTTTACAATGTTCAATTTTGTAATAGTTTACGTTATAGTTATACTATTATATTTGTTTGCGAACATTCGCTTATTTCTTCATTCTTCCATTTTGCCCATGAATTTCTACATATCTTCATATAATAGGTATTGATTGCATTGACGAAATTCAATTAAAAAAAAAGTTAGGATTGGTTTTCTTACTTGTCCATACTTCATACTTCAAAACGGATGATGATTGTCCATCAGCAGTAAATCCTTGAACAAATACATTGTATCTTTCACCCGGTTCTAATTCGGTAAAAGTTCGACTGCTTTCACCTAAATTTGCTGGCTCAGATATGATAGCTTCGGGAGAAATCTAAAACATAAATATCTTAAACGGAGCTACTCATGAGTATGTGGCCTGAGAAATCCGCTGTATTTTGTAACTTGTAAGCCAGGAATTGTTTTCAAAATGTACAGTTTGTAATACTTGAATATGCAAAATTGAAGTAAAAAATGAAACTAAATATTAAAAATAAATCCAAATTGAATTGTTATTAACTAAATTGGTGTTTTGAATCAATGATCGGCGATTTGTACACATTGGAACTAAAATCGAATGAATTAAAATCAAATACACAATATATACATAAAAATTATTTTATAATGCGTATCGTATAGTATATTATGGTTCCATTTTCCATTACATTTGAACCCGTGTACATTTGAACCCACGTTATTTGAACCACGTACATCTGAACCCACGACAATTGCACCTGCATACTATTGCACACTATGGAAATTTTTTTTTGTTTTACGGTAATTTGAACCAATGCCAACCCTAACCCATAGGTTTTAGCACCCGCATATAGATTGAACCCGCGGATATACACATAGGTTCAAATGTACATGGTTCAAATGTACGTGAGTTCAAATGTACGGTCACCGTATATTATACATAGCCCTATATTAAACATATAGCTTGATATTATCTTTTCTCTCCAATTGATTTCACCCCGCCCAATTTGAACACACGCCTACTTATTAATCATTTATATAAGTTTAAATGCAACACCCACTCATGTATGCGCACATATAACAGACATAATCTCTTCGCGTGACATGGTATAATCGTATTAGATTTTCCTTTTTCGTATTTGACTGATATATTTCGATCTAAACTTTTGACCTAGCTGACAATTAGTGACGAAAACCGCACACAAACGTGATATGGAACATTCGTCTTGTTTTATTTACAAATAAATTTATTTCGTATTTTAAAGCACAATTTAATTACTTTTTTGAGTTGATTCGAGATTAAATATATTCGATATTTTAAATTCCTGATTTTAGGAATATTTTAGAATAGTTACATTTGAAAAATTATGATTTTGAGTATTTGAAGTCCAACTGTATAACTATAAACAACGTCATTATTTTTCAAAAACTGTGAAGGATAGAAAAACAATTAAAAAATCATAGTTTATCCCAATTTTCCAGCATTTTCAAACTCAAACTAAATTTAGAAAATATTTAATATTCGTAAATGGTTATTCATATTGCATTCGGAATAGTTAATTATTCGGTCTCCATTGAAATGGTACAAAATAGACCAATAATTAGTAAATAAAAGACGATTTTTATAAATCTGTAAAATCTTCAATATTACCTTTACAGTGTATCTCGTGTATTCCTGTGTTATCGGCGATCTCCAGTTAATTTTGAATGAAGTTTTGGTTCTTTGAGAAACTCGAATTCTCTCTGGTTTTGGTAACGAGTCCGCATATACCATCGAAGCTAAAAATTCAATTAATATTACGGTTATAATTACTAACAAAATTAGCGTTACCGGCGTAAGATTATTAACCAAATGCTTTGCCGCAATTACCGTCACTGATTTCTTACGAAAATGATTATACTCTACTCATCGCGAGTATTATAACTGCGGGTCAAATATCTTGACAAAAATTATCTTAATTTGAAACACTTTAACCGTAACGACATGTCAATTTTGTCAATTTTTTTTCATAATTTTTTGTACTGTCAGATTTTTTAAAGCTGAAATAGACAGTAATCTATTAAACATTTGAAATTTGGGTAAATATAATATGTAAGTTAAATAAAACCAAGTAAACACCAATTGAAGCAGAACACGATGTGTATGATTCTTTGGAGTAAATCAATTATGGCATTTAGAATTCCGAGAAAAGCGAATTAAGCACTGTTTTCAACATAAGAAGACACCAAATCGTCGAAATGTTAAACTTTCATGTTCATTTAACCTTACTATTTGGCTTCAACAATAATATACTTTGGAAAGTGTTGGCAAAACATACATAAAGAAATTTTCCCATCCTTTCCATTACACTTTTACATGTGAGCGTTACTCGATGCACACTATAAATATGTCGGAATCGACATTTTGCCGCTATAAGGAATTGAATTGGTATCTAAAGATAGACCGATATTTCCCATATAGCCAGCTTTTCAATCTCATCTAAAATGTATCGGAATCGACAAAAAAGTGATATTGGTACATCTCTAATGCACAAGTGTCGTAAGCGCGCAATACAAAATGAAAACTGAATTGAAATATTTTCTTGGTTTACTTACCCAAACAAATGATGAAAATCGACACAAAAATCTTCATTTTATTTTTCATTTTTTGAATAAAACTTTAATTATTAGTTATATTTAACTGCGTTATTTGTACGGAAATAAATTTTTAAACATTTTATTACCTTCAAGTAACGGCCTGTGACCTTACAAACGACATTAACAACGTGAATTAATTTAACGGTAACTTTATTTTATGGTCTCTGTTTTCAATAAAAAACAATACCTGGCTTTGTTGGTATTAGAAACTGGTGGAATATGTAACTGCGTGTATAGTTTAAAATTAATTGAAACTCCTAATTATTAACTAAATGAAGCGTTAAGCAAACAAATAATTCATATTTGTTTTGTAAATTGAACTGATTTGGTACTAGAACCTGATAAATAATTTTTTGCTGGTCTATCACAAGTACAAAAGTTTTTCCATTTATTGATGAAATATTCTGTAAGATATGTACTAGCGGTACCAATTTATTCAAATATTTGAGCATTTTTGAGTTATTCCCTGCTATTTTATTTGGATTCAAATAATTCGTATCTGTTGTGCGATACATCATGAAACGTTCCATTATTTGTTGACGAGAAGTCATCTTGCTCGGTATTCATTTCTTTACACTTATAGGTTGGTTTGACAATATAAATATTCAAAAAAAAATTTTTTTTCAAACCAAACTGAAAAAAATTTATGCGATTTTTTTACATTTTAATAGTTACGCCCTTTTTAATTTAAAAAAATACTTTCATATTGAAAAATTTACGCAAAAAAATTTCATTTTCTTAGAAACAATTCTGCTTGGTTTGGGTTCAATTAAAAATATTGTTCACACTTGATACAATACTGAGCTCCAAAAAAATAATTTCTGAAACTTTTTTCATATAATTATTAATGTATTAAATTTTCGCAATGTGAACTGAAATCACAATTCAATTGGTCTAAAACCTAACAATATAAGACGATGTTAAAGTATTTCAAAGAAAAAAAATACTATTATTGGTAAATATCGCGGAATAAAATTGAAAACTCTATTACTTGCGACTCTCATTTCGTTCCTCATACTTATCCAAATATATTTCAATTGTTATGAAAACTACACTAAAAGCTCACAATGTTTTATTCACCTAAATTTTGAAATAATTCTCTCCATATTTCCAGACACTTCAATTTAATATAAACAACCTAAGCACGCATCCTTCTTATCACCAAGCCCATCCGCTCACCCGGCTATCAGCTACGCCAATAACCCGTCACTTCTTGCTTCGTCATTATAATGAACATTTTTTCACCTTATTCAGATTTTCAAATAACCCTCATACCAAGGATGGCGTGGCGCTAAAAATACGTCAAGCTATACCGACTATCCATTTATAACAAATAAACGTTCCAAAATTCAAATGTGCCTTTTCATCGCGACGCCTCGGGCGTTAGGTGATGTGATATATCAGCAATAAACGAGCACTAAGATTAGAGTTACCGCATCTACTGTTCCACATTCTAAAGGTCTGAGTCACATACCATATTCGCTACTTTTGTATATGATATATTATTTGTTTACAAAACTTTGTAGGGTATTAAAGAAACAATATACAAGCTTTAAAACTTTATTCGTTTTTGAACTTTAAAACACTGTCTAGCACCGGAAAATTCATGGTTGTTTGTTTTGTCATTTTTGGTTGAATGCGACCACTAAATCAAGACACTTTTCCACGTCTAAAATATGGTTTTTCGATTATTCGAGTGACGTTATGTCCACAATTATTATATGGGTATTTATTGAAAGACTTTAACAAAAAAAGAAAGAGGTAACGCCAAATTGTCAGTACTACTTCTATGTTCAAAATTTATTTTCCTGATTCAGTTTTGTCGCTCGGGTGTGCGGTATAAACTACGAATTAGAATTTTGGTAAAGCAGGTATTTATTGGAAGGTTACTTTTGTTTTTTCGTCGTTTATGAACAAAAATAATACGATTCATTTTTTTTTAACTGAGACTTATGGTTTAGTGATAGATATACAATTACAAATAAATTATAATTCATTTTACTCTTTTATGCTTAAAACAATGTTTTATTCAGAAGTATCTCACTGGCTGTACAATCAAGATACCCTCATGGCCACTTCCGTTGTTTCAAATCTAATAAACAATAGCCTAGCTTCTATGAAAGAACTCCATTTTGGCTAATCTACATTCTTAATCCTTTTAATGTGTTTTCATTTTATTTAGTTGATAGTATTTAAGAGTCAGTTTGCCGACGCGCGATTTTGCTGTAATGCTTTCAATATCCCACCTATAGGACGCACCTAATGACTAGTTTCAAAAATTGATTTTATAAACATAGATCAATTTGGAGAATGAAACAGGCACCTAATTGCAGATTCGTTTGTGAACCCGAATGACTCCAAAATTTAAACGAAATTGAACAGAAATTTAAATGTCGTTTTGATGGTAAAGAAATTTTGCAATATTCTACACAAATTTAAATTACATGGAAACTATCTGAATTCCTCATAAGGAGAAATGAATCAAAATAACATTGCAATCAATGGATTAAAAATGAAAAATTAGAACTATATCTACGAGTGCTAGAATAGTAATAGTTACACTGAAACTATTTCCACAAAAACTATAATACTTTACAGATCTGACACATTATACCTATCTAATATATGTTAACTTATTTCAAAAAATCCTCACCGATGCACGTTGTGATTTCTTACATGGATTTATATAGTGCTATCGCTAAAACCAGCAACGGAAATGTGAGATTCTTTTAAAAGACTTATTGTCGCTTATAGCTTTGAATCAATGTTCTTATCCGGTTTTATTTGGTGACAAGATCAAGTTTTACTGCCGACTGTAACTGGTTGAACAAGTGTCATAAATAAAAATTAAACTTTTATTTTTATCAACTTATTTCAAAAAATCTTCACCGATGCACTTTATGATTTCTTTCATGAATTTATATAGTGCTATCGCTATAACCAGCAACGTAAATGTGAGATTCTTTTAAAAGACTTATTGTCGCTTATAGCTTTGGATCAATGTTCTTATCCGGTTTTATTTGGTGACAAGATCAAGTTTTACTGCCGACTGTAACTGGTTGAACAAGTGTCATAAATAAAAATTAAACTTTTATTATTTGTTCAACTGCAATGTTTACGACGATGTTAAGTGGCAAGGTGAGAAAGGCGGTAATAAAATAAACAATCACTTGACGTTGTAGTCACCTATCACTACTGTCGGCCGATAATTTTGCACCATAATTTAACGGCGAAACAGGGTTACTATAGTTTTGTAAAAAAAAAAACGAAATGAGCAACAACAACATTACAGCAAAACGAACCATAGGTTCATTTCGTGTCCAAAAATATAGTCATAAATACCTATACATAGTACATCATCAATTTTATGTGTGCGGTGGTATTGGTCAGAGTTTCCCTTGATCATATTGACAACCATTCCCAGTGCATAATGTATTGTCATAATGGAAAGATCTCTGTGTTTTGAAAACAGCATTTGTTTGTGTGTTAGTAAGCTTTTGTCCAACACAAAAAGTCAAATTCAGTCACTCGTGGCTGACAGTCAAATGTATTCCAGTAGCAAGATTGTGAAAACATTGAAAGGTAATAGGTAAAATATCGAAATTGTTTGCTTTTGTGGTCGAAGCTTCCGCGAGTCCATGGTGATAATTTGATGTGCAAATTATTCCTTTGTTTCGATTGGAACTAATACGATTCGTGGTGTCTTTCTTCTTCATAGAATGTATCTGAATTTTACAGTTTACAGATTGTCGTGAAAAAATCTCAATAAAGTAGAGAATTTATTATATTTTTATTATATGATAATGATCAGATACTTTAAACTATGTTAATGTTTATATGACTTGACTTGTATTCATATATGCACATATGTCTTTGGTGCAAAGCATCCATTATATCGCTCAATATTTCGCATCTTTCACGACACCAAGCGATGAAAAATTGGAATAACGCTAAAGCTTACACGCATACTTAAAATTAAAGTTGCTTTTTTCATTTTTCTTCGGCCTGAACTTTTACTATTTTTCCGATCACACGGCAAACGTTCGGTAAGTCATGAGATATGTGTTGAAATATAAATAGTTTTTCCATGCCAATTTTGTCAGTGCCGTACTTTAATCGTGAATTTTTACCGAGCATGTTTCTAGTATGGTGTCCCTTAGATCTGTCGCCTGCGAATGTTTCGTCCGCATAGACATAATCTGTTAAATTAATATTTTGAATAACGTCAGGACTGTAATCAGTATCCATTATGTTTTCGTTTGATTTTTCTTTAAATACATCAATACTTGTGCAACCGTTCACCAGGTGGCGTTCAAGAGTAGAATCGATTGGAGACAGTAGTCACATGATCTCACCGGCAGCGGTGATTGGAAGTTGATCCGATTTTAGTGTGTTTCTATTGATATTCAACTCGAATTGCTTTATTTAAACTTGTTGGAGTCAAGAATTGTGAATTCTTTGGAGTAGAAATTTCGGTACTCCCGAAGTATGTGAACCAAGATGGCGGACACCGGAACGTAGTATTTGTACCAGGTTATGGTTAGGCCATAATTTTATTCCAATTTTCGTTATTTTACTTCTATTACGAGTGTGGGGTCTAGCCAAGTGACTCCCGTACTATTCATATCTGAAATTATTGCCTAACCTGTTACACATACTACGTTTCGGTGTCCGTCATCTTGGTTCACATACTTCCGAAGTACCAAAATTTCAGACTTTTCATGGTGATATCTACAGTTGGATAAATCGTGCGAACACACAAAATCTGTTGTTATAAAAATTTGTTTTATTGAAAGCCGGAATCGTAGTTAAAACCTGCTGTCGGAGGGGGAAATTTTACCCGTGATGTAATGATAGCAGTTGCATTTCATCTGATAAATATCAAAGGATAAATATCGTATACACTTGTTAAACTTAGACAAGCTTGGTTGGTAGTTTCAAATTCCTAAAAAGCTCCAGTAGCCGAATATAAATATTTTTTCAAAAACGATTGACATGTTTTATAATCTTCAGAAACATTCCCATGGTCGTGTATTCAATATTTTTGTTGAAATTGGTAATGCCATAATTCAGGCAGATCTAACTCTAAAATTGCTGTCACGGTATTTTGA